GTCATTGAAAATGTGATACAAGAGATTACATACGATGGAACAGAAATTTACCAACCGTAAGTGGTGATTCATTTTATTAACGCATCATGTATGGACATTAACGTGAGTTGATTTCAATTTTCAATAGGCCGCTCACATTGTCGGAGAGTCTTACGCGCAATGCTTGCCGAATCGATTTTAGCAAAGATTTGGATGAGACTGAAACAGCATCGGGCACTTTAGCGAAGACGGCCATCAAAGAGGAAAAAGAGGATGAGGAAATGAAAGATGTGGATCGATTCAGTGCAAATTTATGGCCATGGGATTCGGTACGAAATAAATTACGCGATGCAATGACTGAAGTATGTGTGTTGTCGGATGTGCTGGCGATCGCCAAACGAAAGCAATACATGGTACTCGATCCAGTGCCACAGGATCCACAAACCGTGAAGCCAATTGTTCAGATTTTTGCACGCAAAAAAGCATTGTCGAACGCTGCCAATATTCTGCTCACTGGCGCCGAACAATTGAGAAATTCCCAGAGTGAAGCGAAGAATAATCGAAATGTGTCTGATTTTCATATCGAATTGTTGAGACTGCGTCAAAATTGGCGATTGAAAAAGGTCGGAAATACAATTGTTGGTGATTTGAGCTATAAAACAGCCGGTTCGAAATTCCCGCACAATGGCATTTTTGAGGTTACGAAAGCTGAAGATGAACCAGAAACCGAGAAACAGCCACCATCGACGCCAACATCAATCCCAAAGCCCAATTCAGCACTTAGAGTCACCGTTCCATCGGAATTACAAGGTGTTGCCTACATCAAAGTCATCACGCAGAAAGATCAAGAGGATTTATGCACGGCGGTTGTGAATTTGATGGGACATGGGCCGAATATCACACATCAAGCCGGCATTTGGCAAAAGAGCTTGGAGTATGCTCAAAATGTACTGTTTTGCAAAGAGTTATTCAACCAGTTGGCCCGTGAAGCGGTTCAACTACAAGCACCAATTCCACATGTTGTCGTCGGCAATCAAATTCGAGCCACTCTCTTGTCCGGCATTCAATTGATCATCAGTTTGTGTCATTCGACCACATTTGATTCGGCGAGCACGGGACCAATTACCGATCATGATCACGTTTTGGAGCATTCGCTGCATCAATTGTTGCGTGAGGTGCATTACAAAAATACACATCTTCCACTTCCGCATCACATCCACGGCGGACCGATGGGACCGTCGAAAAAGCGAATGCTCGCTGGCCCAATGGCAGCCGATCGCTATGAACTACTGGAAATGACCAAATCACAAACACTTCTTGAACAAATTATCGCTCAAGCTCAGCACATTTTCATGCGTAAGAGAACACAATACGTGCTGGACACATTGGCCCGTGATGTCAAAGATCCGCAAATCATTTCACATTGGAATTCAATGAATAGCCCAACGATGTCTTGTGTGAAAATCAACATTGTTACCTATGGCTATGATACCGTTTGCCGTACAACATTGTCCATTCATGTGAAGGAACGCTCACTGAAGTGCATCACGCGAGATGGTCGCGTTATGCTCATGTCGTATGAACCACAAGAATTGCGAGACTTGATCCTATGTCAGATTAACAATCATCAAATATCCGGACTGCAATTGGTGGCAAAGTGTATGGCCTGGCAAACACTATCGAATAGCAATCATTTGGGTATTGGACCGGTTGAACCGCTTGGCAACGCTACTTCATGTCTTCTGGCTTCACCGAATGGTGATCGACTAATTGCCGTGAAAATCCACTGCGATCCACCTCAAATTGATATCAAAGTACATGTGGCCCAAATATCCGACAAAAATAGTATCGAAAGTGAAATGGTGCAGGGCAAGCATTGGGATCAATTGAACATCAATTTCAGAGAGGTACTTTTCATGAATATATTCTTTCTCTTTTTGTTTCAAATTGATATTGAGATTGAGATTTCAATGATTGTTTATCAAATCGATGCTTTTTATTTTCAGATTCGATTCGAGCGACTAGAAGGAAAGAATTTTCTCAATAAAATGGAAAATTTAATGGCCAGTCTCTCAGCGACACCAGCTCCCAAAACATAAGAATTAAGAGAAAACTATTTTTAAAATTGTAATTGTATCATTAAAACAATCAATAAATGATGTTTGCATATCATCGAATAGAATAAACTTTTTTATTTGTGTTTGGTTTCATTGCAAAAAGGACCATTTGACACTCGGTTGCAACATTTATTTGTACCACGAAATTGTGCATCAAATTGATTACATATCGCATAGATTATAGAGAATCGTTTGACTAAACTGAACAAAAATCACCACAAGGAGAGAATATTATTTATCAAAGTTATTCCTCACATTTATTTACGAAATAATTTGTTGAGTTCTGGTTACTTTTTAGGTAATTTTGATAGTTATATTAATTACAATTAAAAGGTAAATTGTTTTAGCAAAATGTTTATTTATTCAAAATTGGCGAATTATATTCCCTAAAAAACAACAATGTAATTTTGTACAGCAATAATCAGAACATTCAAAGCTAATTCAGATTGAAATTGCTGACCAGATTGTGATAAAATTGGATGACTAATAGAAACAAAACAAACTTCTCACTTCTTTTTCAATAAAAGTACATTCTACATACATTTTTTTTTATCGCAAAATGTCTCTATACGTTCAAAAAACTTCTCGATGGATTAAGATGCCCCATCAAAATTGAATTTCGATCCTATTGAAGTACAATTCACAAGTAAAAAATAGCTGAAGATCTTCTTTTGCCTCGAATTTATGTTGAAAAATTTGAACCGAATTCAAACAGAAGAAGATTTCGATCTAGTGTTCTCAGAATACGGAAAAGTATCGCAAATTTGGTGAACAAATCTGTTCATGTTTGAAAAAGGCAAATCTTCAATGTTGGTCCATCTCATTCGTTTTTAATGGGCTTTCCAAAATTCTCTATGGTGCAAAATAATATGCTTTGGCCTTTGTGGATTTTGAAACTGTTGATGAAGATGAAACAGCTTGTGAAATGTTGAACGGGGAGGAAGCATTCGATTCGAAGGTAGAAATGGTAAAACAACAAGTCCATGAAGATGATGACCAATGGTTTCGGATTCAAATTTGATGGACAAAGACAGGAGTTTTGAGTATCTAAATATAATAATTCATACACATTCAGTATGCTCAATTGATTGTGTTTGCATCGGTTGTTTACATTGAAATAAAAAAAAAGTCATAATAAACATTTTACAACGCTAATACTGATAGCCAAGATGTTTGTTTATTTATCGTTCTTTTATTGCAAAGTGGCAAACATTATCCTCATAATATATTTACTATAAAATCAACCATCCATCAATAATGTGCATTGCAATCGCTTTCGATTCTCAAATAAAATATTTCATAATTGGTTCAAATATTTCATTTTTTCGACCAAAAATAAATCCATCCAAAGCCGGTGATGATAATGAAGTAGTGTTTAATGACATACACACAACGATAGACACGGGCAAAAACTGCCACGAAACTTGGTGTGGCGCTAGTGTTATCCATATCCCGAGCATTGGCCGCATTATATACTGAACGCAACTGTAATGACCGTCATTCTGAGCTCGTCTTTCAATCGTTCAGCATCGAAACTACGCCAGTTCAAGTGAATTCATTCCAAACACAAGAAAAAAAACACACGTTCAGTCAACACACAAGCTACGCATCGAAGAACGCCATTAATAACATTCGTTCTCTACGTACGACGTTCAAGCCACGACGAAATCGACGGTAAAAAAAATTCCACATATTTCTACGACAGTTTTTAAAGCAAAAAAAATATCAGAAAAAAGCAAAAAAAAAACACACACATTAATCCTTTACCTAATTTTTAATTTAATTTGTTGTTGTGTTCAGAAGTTCAGTACGAAAAAAACTTGGCTGAATTTTGTTTGCATTTGTTCCATACATATATATATATACATATGCCGAGAGTGCCTGTGCTTTGTTTAAATATAAGAGAACGCCATTTTGAATTTGAATTTACGCGTACCTTCGTTTGTATGAATTCCCATTATTCGTCATTCATTAATGCGCTTTTAAAATAGTAAAGCAGTAAGACAAAAGAAAAATAGAAAGAAATCCGAAGATTTAAATCAATTATTTGCATAATTATTTTTTTGATAAATCTGAAACGCGAAAAAAATCGTGTCGCCCACCGGATTAGTCATATTTGCTTCGCATATACACATATTTTTTTAATCTGCATTTACGTTGCCTACGTTTGTACTACGTCGCATTAAATAGCATTTTGGAGATAGAAAAAAAAAATCGATAAGAGAGTAGTGCGATGAAGCTATACGGGTGTGTCGAGTCTACCAAACAAGAAAGTGTTAGCGTCGCAGCCATTGCTAAGTTGTATCGTCAAATTAATAAATTCCATTCACTCGTCAGAGAAAAGAAATTTGAAAAAAATGACCATAAGCTAAAAATAAAGAGAAATTTTCTATCGAATCTTCGCTCAACGCAACACGACGACGATGAAATATTTTAGATATTCTTCATCAAATTTTTTTCTCCATCGCGCGTCAGTTCACGACGAAAAATCAGATTCGCCTCTTGAAAAATCCTCAGCGCTGTGTGTAACACAGAAAGAGTCACGCCAAAAGATGATATAATCAAAAAAAAAGAAAAGAAAAATATCGATTTTTTTCCTACGTACTTCGTTCGCATCGAACGCGCATCAAATTTATTTGCGTCTCTTCGCCGTTTTTATTACTATATACATTCTGTGTGCATGTAATATCGCAGCTCGACGAAATCGACATATGCGCATAAGTAAGGTTTAAATTGAAAGGAATGAAACAAACACATACACACACACCACTGCCACCAACCAACCAAACAAGCAAACCATTTATTTTCGTTCTACAAAACTGCAACACATATAGAGTACATACACAGTAGCGGCGGCGTCCATATTTAGTTGTTGGGTTTATCGTTACCAATTTGTTGTTTTTTTCTCTTTCGTTATCGTTTCGTTTTCTCTCGCTCTCTTCTCTGAGCAGATGAAACTCATAGATTTACACATCGACCTCATAATTTATATATTGCATATGTATGTAGCATACTAGATTACTTGCAATGCATTTGCTGTACGTTTGTTTTTTTTTGTTCTCTCTTCCACCACGAACAAAAATCTATGCATTCATTATTTTTTATTATTCGACTTTTGATTTTTTGTTTCGTTTCTTTTTGTTTCATAATTCTAACGATTTTCGATCGAGATAAAAACGTTCGTTCTATTTGCAAATTATTCTTCACTCCACTTTCGTCTGCTCTCTATTCCATATCCCTTTTTTTGTTTCATTGCAAAATAAATAATGATTTTTTTTCTTTTTTTCCTTTCTTTTCGAAATTATTATTCCTTTCGTTTTCGTTTGAGAATGTTCTTTGAATAATAACTCACATTATTTGATTTTTTTTGTTTTTGTTTTTCTTCTTCTTCCCCGTGAACGAAATGAAAACTTTTTTCTCAATTTTGGTTTTTCGCTGCGCCATACATTATTCCATTCATATTTCGCATTTTGTTTCTGTTGTTGTGTAACACCACTTCATCGTTTAGTTCCAAATGCAATGAATAAGATTGATGAAATTTATGAACAAAATGAAAACAACACACAAACCTTTTTTTTGACAATATCTGAATGCATTCGAAAAGTTATAAGAAACGAAAAGAAATATATTTATTATTGAAATGAAACATACACACAACATACATATGAGAAGACGTCGGAAAAAAACGATTTTCAATGCCAACAATATTTATTCGATATTTTCCGATTTCGACATCATTTTTATGATTTTTACAAACACATCATTTCTAAACTTTTTCGAATTATACGATAAAAATAAATAAGTTTTCTATCAAATTTCACTACCAAAACCAAAAAAAAAATGCAACAAACCAATATTTAAAACCAAATACATAGAAAAGTATGCAAAAAAAAACAAAATCAATCACAAAAAAAACCCTCCTGAATTTTTCATTACTTCGTTTCTCGTCGGTTCCTCGTAAAGAATTCGTTTGCAACGCAGTCGACGCATCTCAGCGAAACAGTCCCACACACGTCAATCTTGGTCAGTGTCAGTGTTCATCGCTTCGAAGCGCGCACGCAAAAACACCCAACTAGCTCTCGTCACACGCACATCGCACACACACACGGTTCGACGTTACTTCGCATCGACGAATTGAAATCTACGTGAAAAATGGTTGAAGATCGCGGTACTCGTGTTTACGTCGGCAATCTCGGCGAAAAGGTTAAGAAAGAAGACCTGGAATCTGAATTCACCAAATATGGCAAATTAAATTCAGTTTGGTAAGTGTAAACATGATAAGTCATATGTCATATCAATCGGATTTCATTAGTAAGCATATTCTAATTAATTTGTTTTGATTTTTTCTTTTCTCCGTTTCTCCCCATTTTCTCTCGTTCAATAGGGTTGCATTCAATCCACCAGGTTTTGCTTTTGTTGAGTTCGAAAGTCGTAACGAAGCTGAAAAGGCTTGTGAGATTTTGAACGGCGTTGAGGCCTTGGGCTCGGGAAAGCTTCGTGTTGAAATTAGCAAAGGTCGACCGAATAAGGGTCGTCGCAGCGACGGAAGAGGCCCGGGCGGCGGAAGATTTGGTGGATCGAACGGCGGTGGCCGGTTCGGAGGCCGTCCAGGCGGGGGCGGTGGCTTCAGACGCGAGGGAGGAAGTCGCGATGGTGGCTTTAGAGGTAGCTCGGGTGGAGGGGGCTACGGTAGACAGGATTCGGGCGGTTTTCGTAGTCGCGACTTTGGAAGTAGTTATGGTGGTTCCGGGGGAGGGGGAAGATTCAATAGCCGTGAGGGAGGTGGACGGAGCTTCGGAGGTGGTGGTGGTCAGGGCTTCGGTGGAGGAAGAAATGGTGGTGGACCGGGAGGAGGACGATTCCGTTCCAGATCGCCAAGATCTCGTTTCTAAATTTTCATTTAAAAGCAAGTAACGAGGCCATTGCCCGTTACCGCTCCCCACAAACAAACACACACACACACACATACATAATTTCTAATTGCAAAATGATTTTATGTTCTTAGTTTTCTTTTTCTACTTCTAAACACTCTTTCTTTTTCGATATAGTACATACATTCGAGATTTCGATAAGTTTTTCTTTAGCATTTAAGACCAATCGATACTGATTTGATTTTGCCCATTTTATTTTTCTTTGGATTCGAGTGCTACACGCACGCTCACAAAATATTACTACCAAGCATTTTACCTGAGATATATAAATACCTATATTTCATTTACACACATGACCACCACCATCATACAAAAAATAAAATGCTGATAAGAAAGAAAGGAAAAAATAAAATCAAAAAACAAACAAAAAAAAGTAAAAAATATAAGAACAACCTCCCGAAGCGCTGAAAACAAAGCAAACAAAATTATATTGAAATATGATAAATACTTTTAAATGCCATGAACATAAATATATTATTGTGGAATATGAGATAAAAAGATGAATTAAAACAAAAGTATCCAAAACTACCGCACTTGAACCACATACAAACACACACACACACAAAAACTCAAACTCTCTTATGCAAATGATGTATTAGTATTGACTGACAAGTTACAATAAGAGAGAAATAAATAAAGAACAAGAACACGATTTTAAGAATTCACACGTATTGAACGCAAATAAAGAAAGAAACCAATCAAGCTGATGATCGCGCGTAGTGCAAACAATTATGTCATCGTTTAACACTATCGATTTAATTATGAATGTACCAATCAAAATTAAATGTACGTAGATTCTATATAACTATATAAAATTACCTTCGATTATCAACCAAATTCAAACCACACACACACACACACACCGCAATAAGAAAAAGAAAAAAAAATCGTCAAACAACAACAAGCAAACAAAAAAAACGCATATGATATCATCTTTCATTTAAAACATAAGGCAATCTGCAGCATTCATTCTGGAAAAATAAAAATTAAAAAACTACGATTCGTCTATACTTTTCATTTGTTTCGTTATGATTCCTTTTCTTCGTATTGTTTTTTCATCGTGTCTTTTCGTCGATTTACACAACGTCCACGACGACACAATCTCGAAATGGAGAGATTGGGCAACGACGCGACAACGCACATCGGACATTGACACGTATGTATTTTGTTTTCATTATCAACAATGGCGCGACGCGGTCACTCTTCTCACCGCCGTCAAGAAGATAGCATCGGAAAGACAATTAAAATTCCACAAACAAAGAGGAAAAATGTAAATCCTTCGTTATGAATGGTGTTAGTGAAACATTGTGGGTAATGAATTCCTTTATGCGCTGGATGATGCATCACGTTTCCATGCTCTATTTGAGAGAGACGATTTCAGAACCAAACCGACGAACAGATAGAACAAAAAGTATCTGGAGCTCTTATTTACTCTTTCGCAATAAACAACAATTAGAACACAATAAAACAAATGATATGAATCGAACCACCCGAATTGGAAGTGAAAGAAAAAGCAATTGAATGATTTCAACATAACAACAGAAGCTTCTTATTTTCTATGGAATGCCTTTTTCCTACTATTTTATTGTTTCATTCACTTGTTCATCATCGGCTCGTCGAATAGTAAACATTAACGCACACACGCACAGAGAGCAAGTATTGAATGATGCACTCGGTGTGTACTATGTACGTATGTATGTATCTGCCTTCATTAACATACAAAACGTACGCACTGCGTTCGACATCCATTTAAATTCTTCAGTGGAATATGACGAATAGCATGGAGCCAAATGCACGAAAAATAGGCTCAAAAGTAAACACCGAAACAGGCAACAGCAGCAGCAGCAACAGCAGTCACAGCACAAGAAGTAGATAAAGAAGAAGAAATAGAATTCATAGCAGCGGCTTGCCTCTTAGATACAGAGCAATGGTATACTGAACATGAATTGAAAAAGAAAAGGGTCGATGAACCAGGGCAATGACCTAAATATTTTCAATGCGCGCATTTCGTGTTGCTCTCACTATGTACATTGTACAAAGAACCTTTTTTTATCATTTGAATGTGTTTTTCCCATCTTTCTTTCTTTCTTGAATCTTTCTTCTTCTGACTTTATGCTTTTCAGCGCACATGAAATGAATTTATCTTAGTTTTTTTTTCTTTCTTACAACGTGGATCTATAGTATGAGAACCACAATGAAATGGAACAAAGCGTGAAAATATGAGCGCCGAAAGAGCGATTCATAAGGTAAGTAGCTTAGTCATTTGAAAACTCATCATAGAAGCGAAGAGATTTTTCTCTTGCCTCACACTCGACTGAAGAAGAAATGATCTCGATTTTTTTTTTCTAATGAAACGAAAATGTTTTGTAATGGGTTTTTGAGGCGAACTATGGAATGATTCATCTGAAACTGATATGTTAATGATAGGCATCAAAATGGAACGAAGCGTCAAAGCGTATATTTGTCACCGCCGTTGCGGCTTGAGTGTGTGTCACGTCGGAAATGTAAAACAGAAAACAATGAATCATCGCCATAAAATCATGGTTTTATTGTATGGGGAAGGAAAAATAAATAGTCACCTTGATACATTGACAGCAGCAGCATTCCTTGATTGAATCATTCAATGTGATTTTCAATCATTCCTGATTTTATCATGGTCGCAATACGATATGCAACTATTCTAGACTTGATGAACTTAAATATAGGACGCAGAGTCGGAAGTGTTAATTTTATTTGCATTAGAATTAACATGGAAAAAATAACCTGGGCAGATGGAATGTGTGGTACGTGCGCATGCCATTATTTGATTTAAAATACAAATTCGCTTTCGCTTAACATTCCACTCATCCATATGATTCACGGCTCGATATTTAAATTTCAATCTCTCGCGCTATGTCTCGCATTGTCTCTGTATTATGCTCCGCTGTTTGATATGGAATAAGCAATGAACATGTATTCACTATATATCGGCAATTAAAATCGAAATTTGTATTACGAAACCGATTGTATGCGGCGGCACTCAGTTCGTCGGTATCAGTTTGTTTGCTGCGCGCATACACGATAAAAAAAATGAAATTACATAGTATTGAAAACGTATCTCGTAATAATTGTCGTGTTATTTCCAGTTTTTGTTTTCATTTTTTTTATGAGCACACGGCATGAGAGAAACGATCTGTGAAACTGAATTCTCTGTCTTGGTGCGCGGTGAGCCGTTGTAGTACGAATACAGTGAAAGGAACGTGGACAACTATGCGGCGGTTGATGGCCAAACCAAGTGGAAGAATATGTAATCGACTCCAGAATGCAACCAATTATCCAAGGCAATGGAGTCCAAAAACAACTGTTTGGCATTTTTGTTTTCATGCGACTACGGCGACGACTCCACTCAACGATATACCTCAGGCATATAAATATATATATAGCGTACACATAGTTTGCGTGTGCTCATTCACTTCTTCTTCTTCTTCTTTTTTTTCTTGTTCCCATTTCATCATGTTTAGAAGTCTAAAGCAGCAATAAGCCTACATGCATACATAAACGCATCGTCGATGCATTTGTCGGTGTGTTTGTGTGAATGACTTCATCGTTGCAAAAACTGGATTTTACAAAGCGGTTGAAAATAGCGTCGCCACCGCTGTCGTTCGTCGTCGTCGCCGTCAACAACAAATGCCTAGGCGGTTTTATGCATTATGTGCCTAATGCGCACATAATGTCGACCGTTGTTCTACCAAATGAGCACAGGTATAATGATCGAAGTCAAAGTTCCTCACGATTTTTAGCGCACTTCTTTGTTAATCACCAAAAATGCATAATTTCGATACACTAATCACTTACGCACAACTGATGGACTTTTAAATGTGCGGGAATTTCTATTCAACACACACAGGTGTGTGCATAATATATCATTGACGCTCATGCTGAAGAGTTTTAGAGAGCAATGTTAGATCAAACCCACTCACTACCTGCGCGCAATGAGCTTAGAACAAGAGGTCATTTGTTATTATGAAAACTTTAAGTTTTATGCGTAGTATCGTCGATTGTTAATGCATATGCATATTCTTTTTTTTTATTGCCCTTTGTTTCGATTCGTTGCATTTTAAATGTTAAATTCCCTCGTGCATTTTCTGTATACAGTGTTAGGCCATCCGTAATGATGTGCATGTGTATGTCTTTGAATGACGTTGCAAGTGTACAGTCACGTGACCGCATCGAAAAAGAGAATCAAATTCATGTTTTGTTGTGTGTGTGTGCCAAACGAATCGGGTAAATTTGAATTTTGAATGCAACGGTTTGGCCGAGAGTGTGAGCGCAGTGGTAAAAACTCTTCGTAACGACGAAATAAAGACTCTCATATACTTGCCACCGCTTGGCATCAGAATTTATTGCATGCATACAATAGCAGCAAAACTTCACAATCCGACCGGAGCTCTAGCCAGAGAAGAGAGAGAGAGACTCTGTTTTGGTACTCAAGCACAACTACATCGCTGTGTTGGTTTTCGTCATTTATGGTAAAGCTACGGTAGTTACGGCGACCACAACAATGCCGATTTCTGTGTGTAGCTTAATACTGTTATTGCGGGCATCGCGCTGTCTCTGTATCGGTGTATTTATGTTGGTATGTGCAAGTGTGTGTGCCTGTGTGATGATCGTGTTTTAATGTATGGCTTTGTTTTTCGATTTTTTTTTCTTCTTTCTCACAGTTGTTGTCGTTATATGCGGTTGTGTGTAAAGCAAAAAAAGCTAACCGTAAGAAACGTGTGTACACCACACTGAAGAGAATGTGTTTTCGTGTGGTTTTTATTTTCTGTTGAAGCGTTTTTTTTCGTATACGTGTGTTGCTCATTCTCGAGAATATTTTCGTGTATTACCTTGCATTGCACACGCCTGTTGCTGTTGCTGCTGCTGTGCGAGAGACTTACAGAGCGATGAAATAACGTTTCAGTTTGAAATCTGCGACCGCGCCTTTTAGTCAACAAAACACCTTTTGTAACGAAACTTGTGTTTCTTGTTAAAAAAATAATTTATTTTCGTTTCTTCGACGCGTTGCTTCTTCAGACGTTTTGTGTGTGTTTTTTTCATGTCGGAGGGGAAAAACCGTTTCCCTGGTTGCACTGTTTTATCGTTGCATGTCTGGTGTCCAGCAAATCAATGGTATTGATTTTTTCTTGCATTTTTTCCACCTAAAAATATTACTTAGGTGGAAAAAATTTATTCGCACTTTGATCTAGTGATTTACATGGGAAATTGTGTCAAGAATTTTTGTTGCATGGACCACTGTTGCTTGTTCCATGCAAAGTAGGAATAAAATTGAACAAATGTTCATGTGTGAGTGTGTGCTTTGTTGCAAAAGAGTTTGGTAAACAAACGAAATCGACAATTGGTCAAATAGTACACTATTTTTGGAAATTTCGATACACCTCTGGGAATTTTGTGTACACATACCGAAATAAAACAAAACACCAAAATAAATAAAGAAAGTGATTAGCGAGAGCTGATATGTTTGTAGCGTTTTTTTTCAGTTGTTCCATTGTGTTGAAGAAAATGAAAAAAAAAACAAAAAACAAAAAAAAAGACATGAACACCGAGATATAATACAAAAACATAGTGAATGTTCCCATTTTTCGGCATGGTTTTTTTCTTCTCTCACTGTGTGGCGATTGAGTGCGCGTATTTATGTTTTCGATTATTATAATGTGCATGTGTTTTGTGGTGGACTCATGTGTGCCAAATCCATTTTACATTTGCATTTGCATTTGCTGGATAGGAGAAAAAAACTAATTTCAAATAATTGCTTCATTGTACGATTGATCGTTTTTGCACGTCGCTAATGTGGTCTTTGATTTTCAACAAAAACCATGAAGAAAGCTTCTCTTTTTTGCCCCTCTGAATTTTTCTTTCTTCTGTAATTTAAAATCAAATTCGATATACATATATACAGGTGATGTGTTGAAATTTCTTTCCGTTCCGTTTTTTTTCTTCTTCTTTCTACATTCTGTGTAGCCTTAGTAGTTCATTGTAATGCGAATCGGAACAGACTTTTGATAGACACTGGCCCCAGCATATGGTACAGAGATCATAATGCCAATTTTTTTTCTTTCTCAATACACACGATTTCGAGCAGCAAAAACACGATGAAGAAGTAGAAAATTAATCAAAAAAGATCACAAAAAAAGAAAATGAGAAAGAAGAAAAGAAGGTTATGATGAAAAATCATGCGGCTGCTACCATAGAAAGCTTTATTTGTAACGTATCGAATTTGTGTGATTTAGTTACGATTTTGGCTTTGTCTTCATCATCATCTCTCTCTCTTGCATCGATTGTTATTGTACGATTTCTCATATTTTTCGCTTTGGCCGTTTCGTTCGAAAGTTTCGTCCGTTGAAAATCAAGACCAAAGCAAAAATCAAAAAGAAATTAACGAAAAAAGCCAAATTCAAAACGAAACACACTCACACAAAGACACACTAAAAGGTCCAACGTCTTTCGAACGGAAGAAAAAGAAGAAGCAGAGATTATTATTCAACAACATGACCAAAGCCGTCATCAAGATCGACATTTTACTCTCTTTCACTGTCTCCGCGTTTATATCGTGAACGAAAAGACGCGCGCGCTCGCTCACACATACCTTTAGTGCATAGTTTTTTTGGTCGTTTCTACCGAGAAAAAAAAAACGGTTACAACAACAACAACTGGTCAAACGACTAACCAATTGGAGAATGCGAATGTGTTTAGGTATTCCGCATGTGAAACGATTATAGACATTTATCTGTGTGGTTCATTCGTTGTCTTCGTTCTTTGTTTACCACGCATAACACAGCAGTTGTGGTTGGCGAACGCGCACGTTCGTGCGATGTGCAAACAATCAGCAGATATGTCAGTTCTGATGTTGCTGCTGCTGTTGCGCTATTTTATGCAGATTATTGTTTTGGTAGCAACCCATTGCCGCCATTTATTTCTCACAGCATGTCTCATTTGCGTGTGTATGATGCGAACTAAGCTTATCTCCATCCCGGATACTGGCCAATTATGAAAAAAACGAATACGTTAATAGCTTGTCTTTGTGTGTCGCCTATGATCCCATGTTCTATAAAATGCTATTGTAGATGCATCCAAACCGCAATCAATCGACTCCATCGTTCTGCATCGTTCTATGTGCTTGGGCATCTGATGCTGTTGTGGTCTGTCGAACAATTTAACATTTTTTTACGGTTGGCATTCTTCATTCTATTCTGCAACACACGATTCAGGCGTTTTTGCACGGCCTATTCGCCGCTATTCGATTTATGTCGGCTATGTGTACATGATGATGAACAACAGACAAAAAAAACAGTCAATTTAAATCAAATTATTCGCCTTCTTTCTCTTTATGTGATTGCTTTTTTCGTGTGTATCATGTACAATGTACATATACCTTCGGCTGTCGCTTTGTTTGAGCGACGAACACTTACAACTGCACAACGGGGCGAAAGCGTGAAAAAATAATGAACGGCCGATCGGAATGAAAGCAGTCGGTGCATTGTAGCAACGTTAATTTAATGCAATTGTAATTGAATCCCAAGCGAATGACTCATTTGAACTGACTCAATTAATTTATCGTGCTGCCGTTGTTGCTGCTGCCGCCGCCGTGATTGTTTGTCGTTGCGGATGAACAAGAACGGAATACAAAGCAGCCGAATGAGCTATCAGTCAACATGAAACTATCTCAAGCGTTTTATGTCGAAATGTGCGAATCCGTGAAATAAACTGGAACACATGCGAGTATGTGTGTGTATTGAGAGATAAAGACAAGAAAAAAAACATAAAATCACTGATTTTTTGTTGTTTTCAAAAAACGGCAACATGTTTTCTGTGTTCAAAAAGCGTGTAGAATAGAAGAGTTAATGTGCTATGATTGCGAAGATCAAGAGCAAACATACCTAGCACAAAACCAAGAAAACAAGTGACTATAACCATACACACACAAAATATGTGTTTCACCGTTTTTGGCTTATCTTTCGTCATCGTTCCACTTGATATTTTTGGATAACAAACACACTGGAATCTTCATATTTTTCGTTGTTGTGTTTGCGTTCGCGTTCGCACATTAACAAAAACGCGATAATTGTAGTGAAATCGGTCGATAGACCAAATGTGCGTGCAATATAATTGCTTGAGCTAGGGCTGCCTCTATCAATTGAAGACAATTCGTCGGTCGCGTTGTTCGTTGTTTGCAAAAGGTGCTGTGGCATTTGTGAGGCATTTTCCATTTATTTTCCTTTTCATCATTTCAACGAATATTGAGAGCAAGTTTTTATTCGATTCGAGCTCAAAGCCATTAATTCAATGACAAATTGATGTGAAAAAGTATTCCAACTTTAAATTCCACACAAGACGAAGAATAAAAATGAATTAAGTGCAAATGAAAGAGCAAAACGAGATTGAGATTGAAAGGAGAGAGAAATCAGTGCGAAGAAAACAGAACGTTAATGAGCCAAATGTGAATGTGCTGATGAGTGCACTTACAGAGTGTTTTTATTTGAAATTGTTTACCCAGTTTATTATGACAATTCATACACGTACAGCCGAATTGTTAACAATAATATGCTTTGTATTTTTTCTTCGTTTCAGGTGTTTATGTTGAGAGAAAATCCCATCGATAAAGTATTTCGACGACGAGTGAAACAAGTGACGCATGCACAAAATTACTGATCGTTCGAACGGTGACCAAAAATCAACGGCAGTATGTGCGGTTAAGTGTTTGGCAATAATGTTGATCTCATATCGAATCAAAGCCTTAGTAGAGTGTAATCAAGTGTAAATTGTAACCGAAAAGAAAAAAAAAAGAAAATATTTATGCATAAAATGAAAGATAAACCAAATTACCGTCATTCGACGGCTAAACAGTTCAAAGAAAATGGTTGTTGCGACAGACAGAAATCCGTTCCAAATTCAATGAATAATATACATTTAGAGCGTAGTGTGTTCGTGATAGCGACAACAACGCTGTTGTTATTACTGCCAGCGATAGTGAATTGTGATAATAATAACAATGTATTGAATGAGATCGATAACGGTGGCGAGGTGCATGCCAAAAATACGCTTACAGAATTGACGGGCGGCCGTGTTATCGGCGAAAAATGGCTACGACAAATGGAAAGCCCATACTCACTGGAAACCGATTTGACAGTCGAACGCAGCGGAAAACTGTTCATCGAACCGGGTGTTACAATTCACGTCGCACCAATGGTCGGAATTACGGTGCGAGGTGTTCTAACTGCATTGGTGAGTTCAATGATCTGTTGCGTGTTGGTTTTTTTTTCTCCTCACTTCTGTTCCTATCGACAAGATCAAGGAAATAATGATGATATAACGTCCATCATCCCGTTGTCTTGTGCACATTCCCACCGGAATTGCATTATTCCATGTATATGATTCCATCATCATCAGGCCGATTTTTTTTTCACATGCGCCGCCTTTTTTCATATTCATCACATCTTTGATCTTTCTCGCTTCTTTGATTTTCGCATGACAAAAGGGAAGTAGCGTACAACAAGCAGCGCACTGCTTATTCAATATATAATTAAGATGAATAATCGCAAGTAATTGACTTTCGTTTCTTTTATTTCTCTCAACACAAATACACGATTCGAACAAGGTCCATTCATAATAACAGTAATAAAATCGTTTGACGATGATGATGATGATGATGATGAGTAATATGCTTCACTATTGCGTTTTTCCTACTAGCCACGAACAACGCGCTGTTGTTGATGTTTTTTTTCCTCTTACATTCTGTGTTCAATTTCTTTCGTCATAACATTCGTTCATGAAATACATGCATAAATAAATTCGTGGTTAAGAGGTCACATTTCTTTGGCCGTTTTTGCCGTTGTTGTCATAATTGAATCAAGACAAAGGCTAATCGATTTGACGCTTAAATTAGCCGTTTTCATTCACACGGAATACATTTTTCGATTACGTCTACACGAGCTTGCGCAAATTGCTACTTTTTTCTTCGCTATTTTTGTCATAGTGCACTCGTAAAATGGCAAATATTTAATGAACGCTTCAATCAAATTTAATTGTGTTTATTGCACAAAAATGTCACTTTTTACGATGATTTTATTCCATACAAATGAATCTGGTAAATGGCTGCTTTTAATTGCCATTTCACGCAAATCTAGTCTGCAAAACAGTAAACAGAATCAATCGAGAGTTTTAATGAATGCTACCTTTTGTTCTTCTATTTCGAAACAAAAAAAAAACAGGGTACGGCCAATGAAAAAATTGTATTCACAACGCAAACCGATTCGGGATACGATGAGTCAATAACAAATGAACCGAAAAAATTAGGTGCTCGTTTGGTCGATGGCCCATCACCGCTATCCGGACGCTTGCAAATATTCTATGAGAACAAATGGCGATCGGTGTGCACCAATTCGAGGAAGTGAGTATTCGATACAAAAATACCTTTTCAATTTGTCACACAAATATTGATTTCATTTTTGTTTATCTATTATTATCAGTTGGACGATACCGGATTATGAGGCGGTGTGTCGTCAAATGGGTTTCAAAGGTGGCCGATTTTGGAACTGGGTAGAACGATTATTCAACTATGAATCACGTCTGCTATACGAAGAGCCCAATTGCCAAGGCACTGAAATCACATTAGCGGAATGTTCGTGGAATTCAATCCAAATTGGTTCTGGCATTTGTGATTATCACAACGATATCGGCGTTCAATGTTTACCTTTGCATGAAACATCAACGCCGCACTGGCGTGGCATACGCTTTGAGTATGCACCGTCCGAACAGCGATTAGCACTTGACAACACCAATTATGAACAAGTGTCGATGTCGGAATTGCGATATGTTGATATCATAAAAGCGGGTTCGGGAATGAGTCGTGCAACGAATGCGGCCGTTGAAGTTTTGGGCGTACCACCAGCAATGAACTTCGTTACCGTCGATCGAAGTGCATACACTGGTATTAATGTGACACGACCCGATGCTGCATTCACATTCAATGATGTCACCGTACAGAAGAGCCGTGGTATTGGTATTTTTGTGAATTCAAGCAATGGCCTGGCACTATTCAATCGTGTTAAAGTCACGGAAAATGGAGACGATGGAATTCGATATACCGGACATGATTTGCGATCCGATGAACGAACCGATCGAAATAGCATTTATGATTTTTGTACATTGCCAACAACAGCCGGCCAAACATATCCGATATCCGTGTCCATTCAACAATCCCAGTATGCGACCGTTGCGAAAGAATGTTTTAAATACTTTTTCGCGCGCAATGGATATTTGTTAACGGTGAATTTTGTGCATTTCGTTGTTGAACGCAATGAAACGGGATACGTGGACATTTTTGATGGGTCTTCGGCCAGTGATCGATTGATTGCATCATGGGCAATACGAAATTTTACACGGCCACAGAGTGTGACGAGCACACGTGAAAAGATTTTTGTTCGTTTTCGCGCTGATTCACGATCAAAGATATTGGGCTATTTGAAATTAACAACCGGGCCATTTAAATCGTACGATGTGAATGTGACGAAATCGGTGATTTCGAACAATGCGGGCCGTGGTATTGCTATCGATTACATGCGATCTCAAGTTCATATTCATGAGAGTGCAATTATGAACAATGGCCATGTGGCTGGTTTGCACATCACAAGCGGTGTTGGTGATATAAATGTAACGCAAAGCCGAATTGGCATGAATCATGGCGATGGAATCAACATCACTTACTATGGAGGCAATCGAAATATTTCGAAAAGTGCCATCACTTCGAATCTGGGCTATGGAGTTGCGGTTTGGTTGAATCATACATCGGAGGTGGATCGACAAGAGTTTCGGTCGTTTAATCAAACATCTGTTGTGGAGTATTCAACGTTCTTCCGGAATCTCGAAACTGGAATTTTACACGGAAATTTCTGCAGCAATCATTGGGTCAACATCACCGGCAATAAATTCAATGATAGTCTATTTGACTCCATTGACATTCAATCGTGCTGGTTTACTACGAACAACAATGAGAAATTGAAACTGCAAATCGGACACAATGTTTTTGAAAACGACAACAAAATCGGAATTGTCATCAGTCCAGCGTTGAATTTGGACGGAAACATTGAATACAATCATTTTCAGTATGGAAAATATGGATCACTGCTCATACGAAACAAACAGCTCGATGAATTTTTGTCGCTTCCTGTTCGCCTCAACATTCATCACAATCAATTTTTCAAAAATCAAGGCATCTACGTTGCTTCATTGGGTTTGACACCGTACAGCGAGCAAGATATTCAATATCTACTGTTTACGAGGAATTTCGTGCGAATGAATAAAATCACCGAACCATTTTTGAATCCAGACGATGACGATGGTGCGTTGGGTGAAAATCGACTGTCACCACGTTCACGAGTTGCGGCACCGGTTGTTATTTCGTCCAGCAATGTTGATGTATTTCGAAATATTATTCACAATCGAGAATCGCGTTACGAAGTCGGTTCACAGGTGTCGGATCAAAGCAAAGTGTTAAATGTAACATACAATTGGCTGGGTCATAAGGATGAAGAGCAAATTTTCCATCGGCTTTTCCACCGCAAAGACAGATATGATTTGGCGAAAATTGAATACCTACCATATCTGTTGCACAATTCAAACCCAGGCGCGAACACAATAATGTCAATTCAAACATTTGTTCCGCGATTCTTCATCGAAGGCTCGGATGTGGTTGGCGGAGAAGTTGATGGTCAAGAAATCCTACAGCCCGGCACCTATACAGTCGATCGAGATATTAACATTCGACCGGGCGGTAAATTAACGTTGAGCCCAGGAGTTACGCTCAATTTTGCACCCAGTGTTGGAATGATGGTTTCGGGTAAGCTTGAAGCACGCGGTCGAAATCCCGATGATATTTCGTTTACATTGAAACGAACACCGGTCGTTACATTCGAAAATGAGACGACTGATGCAAATATAACGGAAATGGACACCGAAGCGGTGGTTATCGTTGAACAAAAGCCAAATGTGCCAATTCGATTGCTCGGTGGAGCTTCGGAGATGGAAGGAAGATTACAAGTCTATTTGAATGGTAAATGGGGAACCGTGTGCGATTATGGATGGAATATCATAAACGCTGCTTTAGTGTGTCATCAGCTGGGCTACGCTTTGAATCCATCCGATTGGCAATTGGAACGTTCAGAGCTACCGAATGCGGGCACATCGGAAGATGTAATTCTATCGAACGTGCGATGCACTGAACATGACATTGATATTACGAAATGCCGTGCTGAGCGTGCATCAAACAAAGACTTTGTCAATTCATGCTCACACACCCAAGATGTTGGCATTCGTTGTTATGAGGGTGCGTGGGCTGGTGTTCGATTTGGTGTGTTGGCTGAATCGACCGATTTGCAGTACATTACCATTGAAAAAGCCGGTCTTTTCGATTATGCAACGAATACATTCAAACCAGCGCTACAAATGGATTTCGCTCGTCACAATTTGGAAAATGTACGAATCGTACACAATTTGCAAGATGGCCTTGGTGTTGTGTATTCCGACATTTACAGCGGATCAACGAACAATGTGAAAAACTCGGAATTTTCAATGAATCGCGGCAGTGGAATCAGTTTAAAACAACTTGGTCTTCGTGTTCAGGGTTCGGTTATCAAAGATAATTACGGGCCGGGAATCATTCACACTCCGGTTATATCAGCGATTGAACAACGTGAATTGGCTGGTTGGTTTCAAATGGCACCTGATTTCAACATTCATGATTCCGACTATCATCCATTCACGCTGCCCGATGACGAATTCAGCGACATTAATGTGGACATTTGGACAAAGAAATACTTGCTAACATCGCGTGTGTATGACCAACCAATTGAACGAAACATCAACATTCACTGCGCTCCGGGTTATGTAATTGGTTTTCAATTGCTGAATCCCATTCAGAATGGATCGACGGAAAACATTTGGATTTACGATTCGCAAACGCCAAGCAACAATTCCAATGTGTATGAAATGAAACGTGATTTAACCGTATTTCCGGTGACAACCAGTAGCTATGGAGTTAAATTGCGCTACACCAGTGGAACGAATGCGTTTGGCGGTGTTGTTTTAGTTATATCCAGTATAACCGCACCGGTGCAAAACATTTACAATCGAATCGTACGCGGTCCAGTTCCGACATTGTATGTCACATCGACGAAAATCCAACGCAATCAGAAGGGAATTATGGCTACGTATTACAATCGGTATTTGGGCGATCGTGCCGAACATTTTATGCGCAAAGCAAATGAATCAATCAAACTGACGCATTGTGAGATCAGCCACAATAGAGAAGAAGCAATTTTCGTGTTGTCACCATTTTGGGATGTTCACGTCAGCAACATTTCCGAAGTGACAATTCATTTGAACAATTCGCTGGTGATCAGCAACGGACGCGGCATTCGACAGTATTCAAAAGATTTGCGATCATCAAACAATCTGTTTCATTATGTGATTCAGGGAACGACGTTCGAAGATAATTTAAACGGTGGTCTGGATATTAGTTTGCCATATGTTTGGCAGTACAACGAGAATTTCACGCATTCCGTGTATTTGGGCAATGATACTTGGATTCGAAACAAAAATTTTGGCGTTCATGTGACCGGTCATTTTGCAATTGTTAACATAACTGGCAATACATTCCGGGAGAATGACTGTTTAACTGGGTTAATCGGCTTTCGTGGCATGGAGAAAAAACTGAAGATTGATGGCAATGTCATTAGCAACAATAATGCCAGATATGTGATACAGTTCCGCGCTGATTCATTGAGTGAAATTCTTGGTGAAGTGTTTGCTGTGTTTGCATACAATAAAATTGCAAACAATCGGTTCGAGGGAGAGATACGCCAACTCAGTCTACCACATGCTGGATTCAGATACAATCGTTGGATCGCTGATCGAAACCCGACGTGTGTTATTTGCTTTAATGGCATTCAAAAAGTTCGCATCTATAGAAATCTATTGACCGAAAATAAATTGCAGTATGATCTGTTGGCGGGTGTTCGGTCGGCTCGGTTGAGCAATTTCCTAGATGCCACTGAAAATTGGTGGGGCTCAACCGATGTTAATTTCATTCTATCGCGAATTTTTGATTTTGACGATTGGAATAATCATGCTGAAGTGCTGTTTAGACCGTTTTTGGTGGAGAATAATGTTGATGGCAGCCTGTCGCCTTCGATCATCGAACGGAAAACTATTGATATTGATAAATTGGGTGGAAGAATCTTCGAAGATCTGACGCTATATCGACGAGGTGTTCCATATGTCGTTAATTCCGATATTACCGTCATGCCTGGCGTCACAATGACCATCCATGCTGGAGCCGAATTTGAATTTGCCGAGAACGTTGGAATCTTAGTTTTGGGTAAGTTTCACTTTTTTTATCTTGTTTACACAAAGAATAACCTTTGCATTCACTTTTGAAATCATGTCTTTCTCGTCAAAATCGTGCTATAAAATTGTGTTGTCGTGAACTTTCGCTGTATATCTGTAAGAAATTCAATTTATCTTCGTCATTCTTTCCAAACAAAGTATAGTTTAACGCAAATAACTCTCAGCTACGACAGAAAAAAAGCAGACATTCCGTGTGAATGCATATCGAGCTGAGCTATTTACAAATGGCTGTTTGGTACATTTTGATTTTGTGACTATCGAGCCATGCAAATTCATGTGAGATGATAAATTTGGGACACCTTTTTCCATCCTTTCCATGAATTTTTGTCATAAATTTATCATCTCACATGAATTTACATGGTTCGATAGTCACAAAATCAAAATGTACCAAACAGCCAGCTATTTGTAAATAGCTCAGCTCCATATGCAGCCATACGGAATGTCTGAAAAAAAGTAATAATGTATAAACAATGAACGTTTTGTTTTAAGTACCAGAGTACGCCCACGGCTCATGAAAAGAAAACAACGTGAGCACAAAAGAGAAAGGCGAAAAACGAAAAAAGCGCCGAAATGAGAATGAACATTCAAAATGTTCGACGTTGATTGTTTCTAAACTGTTTTCTTCTTATTCTCTTGGATTTCTTCAGGTACTTTGATTGCACGCGGTTATCCAGATGGTCGTATTAAAATGCGAAGCCAACAAACGACCGTATCTCAAGATCCACAATACAAAGCTGAACGCCATATGGATGACAATCGCAATGATTTGGATTCGATACGCTTGTGCAAGAATGGCAACTGTTCGAATGAACACAATGACGTGGAGCCAATAACGGAAGGCTTTTTGGAGTACTTCAATCATACAACACTACAATGGGTTCCGATTTGTGATCGTCGCTTCACCGAACGTAATGCTCAAGTGGTGTGCCGTGAAATGGGTTTCAATTATTTGGATGTTTACTTCAATCACGATCAGCGCTTAGAGTATCATACGAATTCGTTGACTCGAATTTGGTCATGGGTTCAACCGCTCGAATGCAAAGGCGATGAACCGAAATTCAGCCGCTGCGCAGAACGATTAAACGGACAATTGTACGGTCATCGGCACGAGTGTAAGTGGCATGATAAGTTTGTGTTCGTCAGTTGCAATGGAAATGCAGACATTCACAAATACTGGGGCGGCATTCGATTTGCGCATCCAGACTTTGAGCACAACACGTATGAACATCGCATTCATGACATCCACACGCATACAACGATCAAAAAAGGCGAGAGTTTCTTGGAATTCATCGATATCGATTCGGCTGGTATGTTGCATGGCGAAAAATCAGCTGCGATTCAAACCATTTTCAAAGCGCCTACCATTAATGCTATCACCATTACGAATGGTGCACATCATGGCGTTAATTTGGTGTCACCAAGCGATACAATGCATTTGAAACTGTTGAAAATTGACAATGTTTTGGGTCATGGTATAAATGCTGTTTCGTTGACTGGGGAAGGTCGTGAAAGTGAAGAATCAAGCTTTGCACCGCTTAAATCACTGGAATTACCCTATCACTTGTTCTCTCTTATCGACATTTGTGATACCAGCAAGGAGATTATCATCGAAGAACGTGTCATTTTGTACTATAAATATGACAACGACCCAGTGAATTGTGTTAAAATTTTCAATAGTGCTTATCGCGTTAAACCGATCGGATTCCGATTGCTGCAATCGAATCTATTCAATCATTCGAAATTGTACGGACGTCGTGATTCGATACATTTGTTTGATGGGGATTTGTACAATCTCACGGCAAAACACATTGATACAATCGAAGCCGATAGCAACAATGAAAAGCGATTATTCCGTACAAATGGTCCGATTCTAAGTGTTCGACTCGTTGCAAGCGGAGCGCCGGCAACGCACGGTTTCTTCGCTGAAGTAGTAACTCTACCTGCATCTGCCATTGGTTTCAGTAAGTCACGTTATTGGGTAATCATTTATAAGCATTTTGCTAATGAGTTTATTGGTTAATTTACAGATCGTGATGCACAGCATAACATTTCGATGTCGGAAATCTCGGGCGCTGTGGGCGGTGCACTTACTTATGCAACCGCTGGTGAAATATCGCCAAGATTAACACTCGAGAATAATCGAATAGTTAATAATTGCCGGCAAATGTATGGTAATTTCTCGACGTGTGAAGCAGCCATCAAATTAGACGTGCAAAATATGCAAACATTCTTCTTTCAAGTGAGTTAATGAAGATTTATTTAACACTTTCTGATAGCAAATATTCGGTTTTGGTTATTTATTCATACTGCAAATATGATTTTAAACCATTTCAACTCTGAAACCTCTCATTTTTGCTTCTAGAACAATTTGGTGAAAGGAAATCAAGGTGGAATTTTGATAAACGCTGATTCCAGGGGCTCGGCCACATCACTGCGCGCTTTCATTCATCACAGTTTATTCGTCGACAATCGAAATCGACCGAGTTTGTTCGTTGAAGGACGACAATCATCGCCGTATCAAGAAGTGACCATTTTCAAGAATTACTTCTCGCAAAATAGAGCCGCATTCGCAGATGTAATTGCATTGCGCCAAGTGGTATCGAACTTTAGCTACAATTATGTGCACAGCAATCAAGGTGGACGCATCATCGAAATTTCAGGATTTGACAAAGTTCGACTGCCAATTTATCAAACCACCGCACATAATGGCTTCTATGAGTGAGTAATTTTTGCATAAAAAATCTTTTTATTTGGAACAATGAGTTCCAACAAGAAATCAATCCTGTGAACCATTTCTTCAACTCTAATTCGATGTAAATTCCGAAATTCCGTCTTCAATACTTATATCGCTCACTCTCTTTACTCTACAGAAATGTTGCAACCGATTGGCACGGCCGTGCAACCATTGTAGCTGGCACAGCGGGTCAACAATACGTGGATAACATCTTCTACAATCCGGCAAATGACTATGAAATGATTACCGTAAATCGATCTATGTAAGACCGTATTTCATCTCGTTTTTTCTTTGATTAAACTCTTTACAGTGACCTCGAATCGTGCATGCAACAAATGATTCAAATAACAGTTATATAGATAAAATCAACTTTTATTCTTCTATAAAAAAGAGTCCGATTCCAACTTTTTCGCTCGAATTTCGATTCATTTTAGATTAGATCAACTCCAAGAACAGACAAACCTATATTTATTGGGAAACATTTCTTTAGAAAGTTTTACAATTAGTTCTCTACAAATGTAACTCTCTTCTTCTATTTCTCTCTTTGTATATTTTCCCCTGTACGGTGCTGGTCTTCGAATACTCTTTTTCAAATTATAGATTTGAATTCCAGTTTTGGAACAGGTAAATAAATCGACGAATTCCAACTGAAGTTGGATTTTTTGATTTTTTTTGTTCTGTTTGAAAACATAATTTTAATAAACAATTCTTTGCGTAGCACGGTGGATTTGTGGAAGACGAGAATCGACGCAGCGCACAATTATTGGAATTACAACGATACGCTTGCTGTTAGCGGTAGAATTCGAGATAAATCAGGTGAGTGCGATGATGCAGTGTTCTAATCGTGGCTACAAATTTAATTTCGGCAATTTTTCATTGCAAATTCCAACTCACGATTCAACTTTCATAATTCCAGACGATCCTCTCTTGCTTGAGGTGAACTATATGCCATATCAGCTGAACAACAAAACCATTTTGGACGATAAATGTCCACCTGGATGGTCATTGATTCTGGACACGTGTTACATGTACGTTGGAGCACCGATGACATTCTACGAAGCTCGAGAGTTCTGTCGATCGGACAATGCAACGATGCCATTCATTCGTGGATCAAACGACGTTTTGTGGCTGTACTTACAACGACAAATGATGCATTTGCGATATCCAGAGAAAATTTGGATTCAAGACTTGAATCATTTGGAACAGTGCTCGAGTTTCATTTATCGTAGCATCGAAATTGACGATTGCGACAACAAACGTGGTTTCGTTTGCGAAATCGATCCAAGGGTAATAATCACTTTTGTGATCCACGCTTTGTTTTACTCTATTTTATTCCAACGAATAATTCCATGTTGAAATAGTAAAAATGTGCTAAATTGAATATTTTTTGCTTCAATTCCAGGTCCGTCTGTCGCCGCTCTCCTGGCAAACCGATATCGCTGCAGTGCTGATGATCAGTGCTCTTATTTTATTCTTCCTATTGATATTTTTGTTTGTATTTTGTTGGTGCTCAAAATCGCACCATCGTCACATGCAGCGATTAGAACGGCGAAACAGTATCCGACAGTCACTGCGTAGTTTAAACGCGATCGATCCACAGGGATCGCTGCGTCGTCGCAATTATGTAGGCATTTGTTTTTATGATCTTTTCATTTGAACCTTTTTTCAGTTTGTTTAACTTTTTTTTCGTTTTTTTGTTTTTTTTTGTTGCTTCTCCGTTTTTCCCCTCTTTTATGTTTGCTTTGATCGCTTGACAAAATCGTAGAGCATGACAAGATCAACGGACACATTGACGAAATCAATCATAACAACGCCCGACTACAAGAAAATGATGTCAAAGGGGTCGATTGACTCAATGGACAAGAGTGTCATTAGCTCAACCCCAAGTTTGGGTGGTGGCTATGACAATCAAAATATGCAACAACGATATGTGACTCAGAAGAATAAATACAGTCCGACCGATTCGGATAGTAGCGCGGCAAAGAAAGGTGGTTCATCATACGAACAAAAACCCGCAAATACACCAAATTATGATCCATATGGTCAAGGCTTTGAGCTTTCCTATCGCAACGAAGGCTTCCGTGATAATTCATTGTTCAACACACGCAACAATTCGTATGGCACAAATATCAACGACGACACACCCATCGTACACCACACCGACATCGACGATTCGGTTTCCGATTATTATGGAAAATCCAGTACATTGCCAATGAATCCGAGAAACAATGATAATCTATCATTTTTGAGTGAGCTCAAACATCAATTGCCCGAATACGAGCAACTGAATTCGGGACATAGTAGTTTCCTAACGTCTCCAGCACACGATCAATCACCAAATGCATTCCAATCCTTTTCACAAGATAAAAAGAGTGCGGCATCGAGTGCATCACATTCGCCGAAAACTGGACAAGAACCGAAAACGGATGCGAAAAAACCAAACGATTACGCACAACCAAATATCCGTATGATCGATCATGATACTCGACGGCCCAGTTCGTATTTTACTGCCATGCAAAATGCACGAGATTCCAAAAATATTGCGAATATCTCGTCACCAAATCGCCGGCCAAAGGCTGTGTACCAATCGTCGCTGGTTTACGATAAACCAGTGATCAATCTCAGATCCAAATCGGAGGCACTGCTCGAGGCGAACTTTGACGAAACGGCCGCCACTCTAGATCAAAAAATGAAAAGTGATAATAAAAGCTACAGCCAACCAATGGAGACTGCAATGTAACACATTAAGATCGTATTTAAAGTAGGATAACTAGCTTTTAGCTCGAACATCAAACAATCACATCCGTCGAACATTTAACTTACTGTATTTCATTCAATCGACATGAAACGAAACGAAACCAATCGAATCGAATTTAGTTTTTAAAGTCAACAGCAAACAAAACAAACAGCGAATTAGTTTATTATTATGAATATATACGATAGATCCAGATCAAAAATAAGTCGAACGAAATTTTTTTTATTATTTTAGTTGAATGCTTTGTTCAAAAATGTACATAAATGATATAAAGAGAATTATTTTCAGAGAGAATATATACTTTTGTTGAAGTTTACTTTTATGTAAATTGACAAATATTGTTTTAAGCATATCGAAATGGAAAAAGAACGGAAATCAGAAATAAAATGGAAAAATAAAGATATTCAATCAGATAGAGTGCAATTCTATCCAAATATAGATGAATTTTTTACTTGAACGCTTGAACTTTATCATTGGCTGACTCACTATCTTGCTGTGTTTTCAGACTATAACGCTCATTTGCTTTTCAATGAAAAAAAAATTCACTCAAATTTATCTCTTCAATGTGAAATCAATCGCAATTGCCGATGAATCGATTGAACCCATATTTTCGGTATTTCTTCAATAAATTCGGTGAGTTGTTGGTGTTTTAAATGTATTTGTTTTCTTCCTCAATTCTCTCTCATCCGAGCAGTTGCTGGAAGAAAGAAAAATTGCGCTGTGAACGAAATATGAGCCTCCTTAGCTCAGGGGCAGAGCGTCGGTCTTGTAAACCGAAGGCCGAGAGTTCAATTCTCTCAGGTGGCAGCTTTAATTTTTTTCCCTTCTTTCCAATACCTAAAATCGTCTTGAAATGGCTTGGGTGATAAGAAGTTCAGGCACATTTATTATTTTCGGTAAAAAAAAGATTTTGCATCAAAATTGATAAAGTTAACACTCATGAAACAATCTTAAATCGTACAAATTGGTTTAAAATAAAAAAAAAATAATTGCCACTTACTAGAATCGAACCAGTGACCCCTGCTTTACGAGAGCAGTGCTCTACCTCTGAGCTAAAGTGGCTCATGCTCATTGGGTGGCTGATTTCCCATAAGTGTTATGCATGAGTCGTTTCTCATCACAACATACGATTTACCCTCTCTACTGTGCTCATATAAAACTGTTATAATACTCAACTCCTCCATATAGAAGCGTTCGCTGTTGCCAATCAGGTTGTTATTGTTGTTGTTGCAAAATAACGTCATCGCATTGAACTGATATTCGTTGAACTGCAAAAAATAGTTGCCGATGCAAAAACAAAAAAATGACCGATTCTACACATGAATTTCAGATTTTTATAGGGAACGAATGTAGTTGAACCTCATATTTCGTTTTGGTAAGTTGGTGGATTGATATCAAGAACGACCCTTTTATAACTGTTTATCAGTGATGTTGAAAAAATTGGTCGAAAATGGCTGAAAATGGCCTCTTACGACGTTTTGTCTTCGACAACTACCATTTTTTCGTCAAAAAATATGGGTCTCTGAACACTTGAACACCGATTTTCCTACAAATTTGGTGAAAAATTGACATTTCTTCATAAAACTATCAATCGGTTGAAAGATTGATACAAAATCATACTTGTGGCATAGAAAACACACTTACAGTGAGCTACTACGGATATCCAACTAATTTTGGACATAGAATCAATTTCTAGTATCAATTTACACAAATTTATATGGTTTTAGTGTCAAAAATTGAGATTGTTGAAAACAAATGAGCAAATAACGTCCAACGTCAATAAAAGGGTCATTCTTGATATCAATCCACCAATTTACCAAAACGAAATATGAGGTTCAACTACATTCGTCCCCTACTAAATTCTGAAATTTATGTGTAGAATCAGTAGTTCATTTCAAAAGCTGTAAATGTTACTACAGTGTTATGAAATAATAGAAATTGAATAAAAATGCGATTGTTTTTTTTTATTTAAATGATTTTTTATTGTAAATAATTTAGTTTTTTTAGTTTTTCTTCCGTCCAGATAAATGATAATTTAAAAAAAATATTTCTAGCATGTTGTTGGGAATTGAACTGAATTGAAAATGAAAATCAAATACATTAAAATGTCATTTTTTTCTCTTTCTTACTATCTCAATCTTTTGACTAAACTACCGACGATTAAATCGTTTATCATAAAAGCGATGCTTCTACAACATATGAAACTAACCTTTCTTTCGCTACCAATGATAGAGCAAAAAAAAAGAAACAGAAAAATTAAAATGGATACTAGAAAATGAACGGTCTACACATTTTTATTGTTACAATTTATTACAATAATATTTATCAATTTGTAGCTCGTCTTAAAATCGTTCAAGCTGCTCATGAAAAGGATTTATTCCTTACACATTGACTGTTAAGGAATCAAGGGATGACATTAAATTTGATTATGTATTGTTTTTTTTTCCTTCTTCTTCTTCCACATCATTTCAATTCTCTCCTCTTTCATTTTTACTTGACTAATACCAAAATAAATAAAAATACATTTTCCCCTTTTGATAGATCCATTTTTTTGTTCTATCTTCATCATCACCAATCATCGTAAATCTTGGTTAGTTTTTTACACTTTTAAAGGTAGCATCAAATAAAATTAATTCGCTTCTCTAGCGAAATGACGACGACAAACAAATAAAATAAAATATTTATAGGGAATCCTTGTTGTGTTGCATTCGTATATATAAATACCTTTTTTCTGATTCTCTAAACTTATTTGTGAGTTTTCAGTTTTCGTGTAACAGTTCGTGTGTGTGTATGTATGTGATTGAAACATGATCGACATTTTTTTGTCTGCATAAGATTTTTCCTCCTTTTTACACGGATTCTAACACTAAGGTCTACTGAAAATTGGCCAAAAACCACATAGAATTCGGCTCTCTATTCTCATGTAAATAGCTCTATTATACAGTATTTTGTAACGTAAATGGTTTTGTTGTTGTTGTTGCTTTTGTATATGGTACGGTCGATTCGTACTATGTTGAGTGCGTGATGCTTTGTGACTATTAGACTTTTTATTATTGATCGATTTTGGAGTTTTTGTTGTAAACTTTGCCTTTTTGTCCAAAGCAAAAAAATAAACATGGTTTACTCAAATAGAGATTGCTACATTTTGTCTAAACCTAATTAAGTTTGTATTTGTCCATTGGTTAAACGCAATTCAATGACTAAATGGATTCATGGCTAATGATAAATTGAAGAGTGTGTTTGTGCTATGTGCATGGGCATGAGTTATTTTTCATCCGAAATTTATGAATCCAAGTCATCTTGTTGCGAACTGAAGTAACTAACTAAACCGCTAAATTCACTGGTACTTCCACCAACGCCGCCCACACCACCCGGCCCAATGACCGACGGTGGTGCTGGTCCTGGTGGTCCAGTTCGATCATCCTCAACATTTCCGGTTGGAGCGTTTCGACTGGCCAGCGCAGCTAAACCAAGACTTGGATGTGCGTAGGCCGGCAAGCGATCATGAGATGCTGGATTTTTGTTGTCAAATGGCTCAAATGTACCAATTATTGCACCCGATCTCCGTTCTGCTGCTGCCTGTGCGGCTGCGTAATAACTGCCAAACGGTAGATTTTGATATGCTCCTTGATTGAAGAAAAACCATAGAACTCAACGTTAGTCAAACTATCATTTAAAAAAAATGCTTTTTTTTTAGCAAAATTGCTTTTACCTGTGAAATTTTGAGGTGAATTTGTGGCATGTTCGATAGATTGCAACGATCTATGCATGGGAGGTGGTTGAATATTTGGATAACCGCCATATGGAATTCCCGGTTGACCTCGCCTATTTTTCGCATTGGAATTTATATTATTTTCAAACATTTTTTTAAAGTTCAAATCGGTAAAATGAACTTACATGTACATCGGATGAGGCAAATGGCCGCTTGTGTGTGGTGGAGGAACCAATGGTGGTGGCCTTGGTCCCGATGTAACTGTTACATTTGGTGTGTGATATGGTCGTGAAAGTGATCCAGTTGCCGTTGAAGGTATTGAATGTGATGGCATTGTTGCATTTGGTGCATAATATCGTTGCGGTGGAGATTGACCTGTGAATGTTAACAAAATCGACGTGTTATTTTCTGCATTCCAATCAATTTATTGAATATGAATCAGTCTTAATGCTTACCGGAAGGGAAAGGTTGTCTTTGCGATGGCCGCGTTAATCTGGTGATCACCGATGCTTGAGATCGACTGCTTGGCGAATAGAGTTGTGGCGGTGTGGCTACCGACAATCCCGCTTTTTCGGCTAGTTGAGAAAAAAAAATTCATTAGAATATGACATGAAAACACAACGTCAATGTTAAATTAAAGGGAAATTTTGAAGAATTATCAATCCAAAGCTGCCTACTAACCTGGATTGGCTGACAATCGTTCCGATAAAATCGATGATGGTGGTTTCGAAATATTCGGAACATTTGGTATTGTCACCGCTGATGGTTGTATGATGCCCGGTGACACAGTAACATTTGGCGGAGAAGTAATGAGTGAATCTCTGGTCGGTGTAATTTTCTTTCTGCTTCGTGCTCGTTTTTTCACTGCCGGATCCAATAAAGCGTCTGGTGGTTTACCGAGTTCAGATGGATCCAAAAGTCGTGTATTCTGTACATCTAACACGGTTGACGGTATGATTGGTTCACGATTCTGTGCAAGGCCAAGAATGCTCGATGCAACGGTTTGAGGCATCGGCGGAAGTCGTTGCTGCTGTTGTATAACCGATGCATGCGCGATAACTGACGATGTGTGCTGAATGGTGGGCGATGCGAATAGTTGCGATGTGGGTGCATGTTGTAATACTGACGGCATATTTAATAGAGTATTTGGTTTGTTTGGTGGCAAAATCGATGTATGTTGTATCGTTGGCAATTGTGTTGGATGTACTTGTTCCTTGACACCAATCATTGGAACATCATCTTTTGTTTTGCGACCGCGTTTCTTCGGCGTCGTTGACTGTTTGCTGTTTGCACCTTGGAATTGGGATACCGTATACATTGATGGAGGAATATCGGGTATGGTAAGCTGTGACGTTGACAATGGCGATACCAAAGACGGTATTGTCGATTGCATTATCACACTTGATCCCGTTTCGATGGTTAGTTTCGTTGGCGAATCTTCTTTTTTCATTGGATCGGTCAATGCATCCTTTAGCTTGCGATTGCGTATCGTTTCACCGGCCAGCTTCAATTGATGCTGTGCAAATTCTTCTTCTTCCATCATTTTGGCAATGGCATCTTCGTCCATATCTTCGGGATCAAAATCTTCCGGTAGATCGTCATCAAAACCATTCGAATCATTATCGCTGGCATTTCGATTTAAACTGGCCGATTTTTTGAGATCAACATCGAGTGCCTTGGCCGTTTGAATGATTTGCGGCGGTATTGTGGACAATGAGTCCTTTTGCGGTGGTGGAACACGGAGCGATTTATCGTCATTCCCTTTTTCCGCCAACATTCGCTTTATCTCCTCTTGTTTCTTGATGAATGCAGCACGCTCTTCGGGTGGCGTGTCTGAAATAAAGAGCAAACATATTATTGGCTAAATATTGAAACGGATGAATATCCACTAAAAATATGTATGAATGGAATATTTTTTACCTGGCCGCTTGACGCCGGGTTTGATTCCATCATCGGAACTATCAAAGTCATCATCTAGGAGGTATGGTAGTTTTTTACCGCGCGTTCGTCGGCTCTCGGGCAATACTTCATCAGCATCGTCATCGTCGCTAACATCATCATCGTCGTCGTCATCATCATTCGACACTTTTGGTTCCTTTTTGGCAATTTTACCCTTGAAAGATCGTTCACCATCGGGTTTCTTCTTTCGACTTGGTTTGCTAGCCACTTTGTTTGATGGTTTCTTCTTTTTCTTGCCCCATGATCGATCACTTTCGTCGGTGCTGTCATCACACAGATCCTCACTATCCACATCCTCCCCCAGCTCTTCGGAACTGTCATCGAAATCATCAAAATCTGATTCGACCTTCTTCTTTTTCTTAACCAGCGGAATATTGTCTTCGTCATCGAACGACGAATCATCGATGAAATCAGCATCGAATCGCTTTTTACGATCACGAACCGACCGACGAGTTGATTGACGACCTATTGAACAAATGAGGTATTTAATAAAACATTGATTGATTCTTATAAGAAATAAATTTCCTAAATAAAATCTACAAACCTTTTCCTCTCTTCTTCTTAACAATGCTATCCAGTGAACTCTCACTAGGTGCGCTTGAATCCTCTTCTTCTTCGTCGTCAGAGTAAGAGCTAGTATTAAAATCGTCATCTGACGAATCGGCGTCCTCTTCCGAATCCACATCCAAACTGTTCAATTTCTTTTTCTTTCGGCCACCCACGTTCTTTGAGCGTTTAATGGCTTTTGGTCGTATTGGCTCCGAGTCACTGTCATCCGATTTTTCAGCTTTAGTCTTCAATGGATGATCATCCGAATCGTCATCATCATCTTTTTCATTGGTTTCACCCGTAATTTCGCGCTCTTTTTGCTGCTCCTCCAGTTTCTTCAGCCGTTTTTCCTCTTTATCGGCTTCGATAATGGTTGAAATATCTTTGCCACGGCCCAAGTTGCCAGCGCCAGCCACTTCATCCATTTCCGATTTGATCGCACGATTGATCAGCTCATCGTATTCGTTGAATCGATAACTGACATTGGCTTGACGCCGTTTTCGCAATTTGTATATCGGTTCATTGTCTGACGAATTATCGCTGCTGCTTGCTTCACTTTCGCTCTCGCTGCGATTGCGTTGCCGATTCATTGGTCTTGGTCTTGGTCTTGGCCGTTGCCTTGTTCTTCGTTCACTGTTTCCGACTTTTTCTCCGGCATCACTCTCCTCCTCCGACGACGATTCCGATGAGTTCTCCGATCCATCCAACGCACGTGCACGCTGCCTATCGCGCTTTGTGTCTCTTATAACATTTTCCTCACTGATTGTCGTCATCAGGAGTCGTTGGCGTTGTGCCTCTTCGATCTCTTTCTGTTGAAGCATATTGTCAAACTCAAGGAGTTTCACCTCCAAATGATCGATCAATTTTTCTTGCTGGCACGGTGGACAGAACCAGTCTCCTTCAGGTATAACGAATAGCACCGGATTCAAACACGAACAATGGTAACCTGCATGAAAAAAAAGAAATAAGACCGTTGAATTTATTGATCGCTTTGATTTTGAAATCATATCAAACAGCCTTACCTTTATCACATTTGTCGCACAGCAAAATCCATTCTGGGTGATCACTTTTCGTGCACTTTTGACAAGCATGAATATCTTCCTCCTCTTCGGACTCCTCTTCGCGTCGTTCGGTTTTGTCTTTGCGGGCGGTCCGAGCACGTTTTGTCGGTACAATTTGCGATTCATCTTCGATATCTGACTCTGGCGAGAATTCGTGATCCGAACCCAATGGTGGTAGCCGTTCAACTTCTTCGTGCTCGTACACATCCTCCTCTTCGCGTTCGCTTGAGTCATCCGAATCAGTTTGCCATGGTTTGTCCTTGTTTCCCTTCTTACGTTTCTTTTTCTTTTCCAACTTTGCCTCGCTTTCGCTGTTTTCTTCTTCCTCCTCATCTTCGGTTGCACTCTGCTCGGCAACGACACCTTTTTTCTTCTTCTCTGACGCTTGTTTCATTTTTATCAGCGCTACCTCTTCGGCTTTGCGACGTTCAGCCTCTTCGCGAATTTTGATTTGGGCAATTCGTCGCGATTGGCGCACCGGAGTGTCTGCATCCACAGCTGCTTGTGCCGTTTCAATTTCAGCAATATCTAAACCGAGTAAACTTCGTTTTTTCCTTCGGGTTTCTGGTTTAGCTGCCGGTGGTGGCGGCGTTGCTGCCGGTTTATCCTCTTTGATCGATTGATTTTGCTTAAGCGGCTCTTCCTCTTTGATGTCTTCATTTTTGATCACTGGCTTCGCTTTTGGTTTGGGACCCGGTTTTCTACCTCGTCTTGTCGGCCGACCTGGGCGACGAACTGGTGTAGCTAGAGAATAAGAAAATATGTTGAGAAAAATGCTTTTAATGACGACAAAAATATTTAAAACTCACCTTGTCCCTCATCAGATTGCTGTTCGATTGCTTCTTCTTCGAACTTCACCGTCGTTTCTTCTACTACAGATGGCTTCTCTTCCGGTTTTATAGACGGTGGACTTTTTTCCTTCACAGCTGCCTTCCTTCTATCCACCTCTGGCGCCACTTTCTCGGGCGATGGCAATATTTTCTCCGTTTCTTTGGAAACATCGCTCGTTGCTCTCTTGGCATTCGGCTTTTCATTGTCATCACTACTCCAATCAGTGTCTTTGATATTTCGTTTTTGTTCAACCGATTTGCGTACGCTTCTCTTTACCACTTTGGGTCGCATTTTTATACGTTTTCCACCCACTTCTTCGTCACTGCTTGCATCTTGTGACAGTGGGGATTCGATTAGCGCATCGATATTGTCATCACTTTCGGAAGAATGGCGCACTTTCTCACCCGATATTCGCCGCTTTCGTGTTCGTAGTTGAGCCACCCGTGAGCTTTGTGCCTGATTCAGCTGAGCTCGCGCTGGTGATCGCGACTTTTCTTTTTCAATGGCAACAGGTGCCTCAGTTGATGCCTCAGCAACATTCTCTTGAGCTTGGGTATATTCTGGTTCTTCGTTTTTCGCTTCATTGACCTGTGTTTTGGGCATGAACTCACTATCTATGACAACTGATCCTTTTTCCACTGATGCTACGGCATTCTTCACGGAATCGTCCGTTTTTAAAGTGCCCACCTCACTCAGATTTGGTTGTTCGCTCTTTGAAGTTTTGTGACGAATTTCAACATTTGTTTCCGTCGCGATTTGTGTTTCCGTCGTGATTTGTGGTGCGTCTTCTTTATCTTGAGCAATCAATTCCGATTCTTCTGAAAGCTTCGATAACTCAATTTGACTTGGCTCTATTGTCGCTTCCAATTCGAGTGAAACTTCAGAAACGTGAATTGTATCGCTCTGCTCTACGATTTCAAGTGGCTTCGAAACAGATTCCTCTTGGCTTGTTGTTGGAATTTCATTTATCTTCACTGCATCTAAATCGATCTTTGTTGGTTGTTCAGGTTCCTCAAGAATTTTTTCTTCACAAATCTTTTTGCACTCTGAAACTTCTTCAATGCAATCAATGGATTTTCGTTTTTCTGTAATTGGTGCAGATATGACCTCAGTAGCAATCACTTCTGATCTATCTACCTTTGATTCTGGCACGATTTTCTTCCGTTCTGACTCAGCTTGTGACGTCTCTTGACGCTCTGCTTCAGCAACGGGAACGGAAACCGAAGCCGCCCATCTGTCGTCAACTGAAACTATCTCTTTATTGTCATTTTCAGCATTCTCGACCGTTTCAGATGGGCAAGCATTCGGAGTTGGCTCAATCTGTTCACTTGGAATTGGCTCGCTAGCAATTGCTGCGATTGGTTCAGTTACTGAACTTGGAACCGATTCGTTGACGACTTCATTTGGAATGGGCTCTGAGGACTCATTGTAAACGGGAGCTGGTGACATTGGATCAGATTCGATTGGAGTGGGCTCTGTAGCTGCAACCGCAATTGGTAAAGCATCAATTGGTTCTGGTTCACTTGTTGTTTGTTCAATCTCTTCATATGTAGATGGAAGTTTTTCATCAAGTGTTTCTTGTTCATCTGGCAAACCTTCGGTTTCAGTTGGTTGAACCGTTTCCAATTGCTCGGATGGTGTTTGAATGGGAATTTCAACAGGGTTTTCAACAGCAGGAGGAGTGATTTGTGACACTTTACTTTCTGGCTCTTGTATTTCAGCCGTTGTTATTTCTTCACTTGTACTGGTTTCTTTTAAATTATTTTCGACTGCATTCGATTCGATAACATTTTGTTCATTTAGGCTTTCAGTCTTGACATCATTATTGCTTTCATTATTCAACTCACTTGATTCCCCACTTTCCGTTTGCTCTGCAACCTCTTCAACTCGATTTTCCTCAACCAATGGCGTAATATCGTTTTCGATTGGTGCTGCTGCCGAATCTGTGTCTTGCACTGGTTCACTTGTTGATTCGATTGTTTCGGAGAATTCATCGTGTTTGGAAGAAATGGTTTGGTTTTCAATAGGAACATCTTCACGAGTTAAAGGTGTATCACTAATTTCGACCTCAGCACTCGGTTTTGCTTCATCTTCAACTTGGCTTACGCTACTTTGATTCTCATTCTCATTGTCATTCTCCAAAGCATTCGATTCATTCACATCAATTTCACTACTCATTTCACTTAGTTTATGTTCAGGTTCATTTTCCGTTTCTATCGATTTCACATCATCGCTTGCCACATCAAGTTTCGACGATTGCTTTTCTACTTTATCACTAATCTCATTTTGTTCATTTGTATCGTTCGATAAATGGCTTTCGGTTTGCAATACGGTTTCACTTGTCGTCGGCAGAGATTCTGGTTCAATCGATTCACTGTCTTGTTGTACTGATATATTCGCTAAGGCCACTGAACTGTTTGATTCAATACTTTCTTTAGAACTGTCACTTTTGGTGGTCGCAGCCACTGCAGTCGTTTCCTCATGCTTCACATCGGCGCTTTTATCATCGCATCGATCGGTGTTGACATTCGATTGATCAGTTTCGATTTGTGCTGTGCTTTCACTGATTGGCGCCCAGTCATTAGAAGATGATGTGTGCTCGTTTTTATCGCCAACATTGTTTTCTGGGATAGTTGTGAGTGGCGGCGCTTCGATGACGGTCGAGATTCCCTTGTCTGTTTCATCAGCGCTATTTTCCGGCACGGTTTCGCTTTTGGCATCTAAGGCAACTGAATTTGTATCGTTGGTGTCGGTCTTGTTAGCAAGTGTCTTTTCACTCTCTTTTGTTTCGGTGTCATTTTTGTTTGTGGCGCATGAATTGTCAGTTGGGGTAACAGACGGTTTCATTGGACTGAGTTTCAAGCAGCCCGCTTGACCGAAGAAAAACATTGGCTTGCTTTGTGTGACCGGTGGCGGTGGTGGTGCTGTTGTACCACTGGCTGGCGCTTCTGTTGTTTTAATGTCATTGTTACCGACATCACATTCGAAGCCACTTCCTTGGCCAAATACAAAAAATACTTCCTCTTCGATTGCCTCACCAACTTCGCAATCCGACTCGTCGCAATCCGGCCACACGACATTCTCACAGTTGTTATCAGCACCTGATCCGTGTCCCTTCACGTACATTGTTGGCTCTTCTATGGCTGGTCCAACCTCATCATCATCATCATCATCATCATCATCATCGCCACTAATGTCGTCCAATTCTTCGTCTGACAATTCGTCACTTTCAAATTCGCTGTCGTTTTCTTCGCCATGACTCTTGTCTTGCATCGTTGGTCGCTTATTTTTACCCGCCGCCACTTCAGTATCTTCGTCCAAGTTTCTTTTCAGTGTCTTTTTATCTGTGGCAAATATTCGCAGTTTCAATTTGTTTGCATTTGATGGAGGCTTCGACGCCATCAACGATATTCGCTTTGATCCTTGTGTTTCCTATGCGAAAAACACGAGCATATTTTATTATGACCTAAATATTATTATCCTATTGAATGAGCTCGAGAAAGAGCTATTCACTTACCGTTGATTTAGTTCCAGCAGTGGTGTTACTGCTTTCGCTAGCTGCCTGTGATAGTTCATCAATTTCCGACATAACGCTTGCATCTTCCTCCTCCTCTTCTTCGCCGATACTATCATTTTGCGATTGGTTTTTAGCACCGTTTGTATGGTCACCGTTTGAAATTTCCTCCACCGTCGATTCGGCACCATTCGAATTCAATTTGATTTTCAGACATGGTACATTTTTCTCGTCACTATCGTTGCTGTTGGTTGTGCCGTTGCCGTTCTCATTTTGTAGTGCATCCACTTTTGGCGGCATACTATTGCTACTACTGTCTTCATCAATGAGTCCAACGAGTGACGGCATGACTAATTCATTGCCCCGAAGACATGCGATTAATTTTGCCATTTCCTCGCGATTCGTTGCAACCACCTTCCAAATCTCCTCGTCCAAGTGCTCTTGATAGATGCGCAAATTGCACTGGTCGTCTACTGTGCTCCAATAGGCATTTCCCAGTTTGTCTTTGCCCAACGGTTGACTTCGAAGTTCGGCGGCTGTCTGTGCACTGACCAACGTTCGAAAATTCGGATTCTTGTCGAATTGACTTTCGAGAACCTCCTACAAATTGGTTTTAAAAGCAGAAGTTATGAATAAAAACGTACTCAATCGTTTTGACGTGCAACAGCTTACCTTCAATACGCGTAGTTTAACAGGGAGACTCGCCTTTTTATACCCGAATCGTTCGAGTTCCCATGCATCCTGTGCCGAATATGTGTAACAAAATTTTGCTAATGCCGAATCCAATTTGTCTGGCTGAACGCTTTTCCGTGTTTTTCGCAGCAATTTCACAAAGAATTGTCGGAGTTCATCATGCACTGCAAATGTAGAACGAAATATGCATTTTTATAAAAATCGATAATTTTGACAGAACAAACAAATATAAATCACATTATGACGCTTTTATTTAGAAATGAATCACTTTATATCGTTGCTAAGTGAGTAGAGAAAGAGTTCTGAAAGAGCACTAAAAATATGCAGTAAAATTATTGCGGTTTTTCGCTAGACGAAATGTTCTATCAATTAAAATCGATTGGTTCTTTTTTTACGGCAATTATAATTAATATTTGCGCGGCAATCGAATACATTTGTTTGCTATTCATTCTCACTGTATTTTTAATGCAATTACACGCCAGAATTGATTATCGGTTGATGCACATTTTTATTTCACAAAACGCCAACATTTGCGTTGTATGTGTGTCAATTCAAATAAGATTCTTTTTTTCTTCGTTTGAATATTTGAAGGCGTTCAAAATGTTTCATTCATTTGACGAGTCGTAATTATGGCATTATTAAAAACATCAACAAATACACTGACACACAACAAACGCACTCGTTCGATTGAGTGAAAATGCCGAAGGGCGATAAATGTTTTAGTTTGCATCGTTTGTAAACTATGTCGAAAGTCACAAGATGCACGATGCATACACCAGTAACGATGAATATCACAGAACCACACACGGGCAAACACACGGACACACACATTTGACTCATCGGCTTCACAAATAAAGCACTCAATTTTGAAAAGCATCGACACACAAAACGCATTCAAACACACACGCACACATATGCACAACCAATACTAAATTCCACTCAAAGCAAACGCTTGCCATTGAGGCATCATCACACACTGTGTGTATAACATGTACTACAGCAAACGCGTATAGCCAACGCGACTCCCGACGACACACTCGTTAATGTATAGCATGTATTTTTGTTGTTGTTGTTGTTATTATTGTAATTGTGTGGCCTTACCCTCGTCCGTATTTTCGATCATTTTTTGCAATCGCAAAAAGTCCGGATGCTCGATTTTCAGATGCACACCAAATTTTTGAAGAAACACACAAATTATTGCATAGTTTGGATCGTTTAGGCATGATGACGTAGCATCAGCGGCCGCATTATCATCTATATTTGCTGCGTCCGATGATTTATTTACGGACGCCATTTTTCCAATTGAATCTAGCTGTTGAAATGCTCACAGATTTTATGAACTTTTTTTTAATGATTTTTTTTGATTTTCTATTTTTCCCACAACACTGTTGCTCCGAATTCTACTTTTTCAATCTCATGTATTCACTTGTTTTTTAATATTTGGTCGAATAACAAATGGATTTCTTTATGCATTTTCACTGAATTTTTTTTTTGCGCTTTTATTCGACACACTGTGCGATCGGAAACAAACAAATGAGTTTTCGTCTTGAATGAAACACAACTAACACAAAACTTTCACTCAACAACACACATCAGCTCGTGTATACGGCATACACACATCAATACATGTGTGGTTGTATGTGCATGGGTTTGAGATATGTTCGAAACTCCGTGCCGTTTGTTGTTTCTTACGGTTGCCGCTCTACCGACTCAACGCTTTCGAATATATCAAATGTCATATACACAATTTGTTTGACGTTTCACAAGCCAACCGATATACCGTTGAGCATTTGCATTCATTTGCTTGACTTCGAATGTTTTCGCTGGAGCAACTGTTTTTTTAATTGAAGAATTTGCCATTTGAACTGATGTTTGTGCATTGTCATAACAATAAGGCTTCACCTGTGTCAACAAATTATTACAAAAATGTTGAGTGTTTAAATGCACTTTTCGACTTGTTCATGCAATTTTTCGCAAAATTCACCTTTTTCATGACCTTTTGACCGTCTTGAATAGTAATTTTGCTTCTTTCTTATCTGAGATTCTTGATTCAAGGAATGTACTTGGGTTGACCGCCATACTTCTTGACGATCATATTCAACGATGAATCTTTGAATTTTATCAGTTTTAATTTGATCAAATAGAATCAGTGTCCTTGTCTATCTCATAATATCATGCCATATCAGTCCAAATGGAAAAAGCCGTTTAACATAGAGTAGGATATACGTCATTATATCATTGGCAACGTTGATGGCAACGGCCTCTTTTGCACATATCATGAAATCAACATTTAAACGGCCGAAAAATTCAATAGTTTCCTCTTTTATTTGTGGCAAACGTTCGAAATTTGTGTGAAAATCGTTGCATAATTTTTGTGAATTTTAGCAATTCTTCATGATTTTCCTCATGTAAATTGATTTACATTATGATTCTGTATTTCAGAACAGCAATAAATGATTTCCCATTTTTCAAAAAATAAAACCCAAACAGCGCCGGCGCACGAATTATATCCTTTTTCCCCATCCTGAATGTATTTTATGTGGGAGTTATTGCATTGAAATTGACGTAGAACATCGTACACTCAGCATATCATAAGAATTGTATATAAATTCAGAGCATGGGTTCTGTCTCCAAGAATATTTGATTTGATTCCATTAGTTTTCGGTTTTTAAATTATTTGTCGTTGATTTTGTGCCGAATTCACTGTCAAAGCAATCATGATTAAATTGTCGACCAGGCGATTTGCAGTGGTTTTGTTTTTTCAATGCTTAATACTCCTTATCGATTTGGTACGTCACTGTGTCTAAGTAGCGCGTAATTGTTTTTGTACGACCGAATGGAATAAAAAAAACTTTGTTTTTTTTCTTCTTAAATTTGCAGGCCATTAACAGTTTTTCTCATCTGGCAAGGGACCGTCGTTCGACAATAATATTCCTCTTTCTGTAAGTGTGCGCCAATTTTTCAAGTGATGGGTAATAATCAGCAATTTGTTGTTGTTCCACAGTTTCCAAGACATTTGCTTGGTGCTCGCTTTCACTGTTTTGCTATTCAGCTTGTATTCAACCTATGTGTTTCAAGTAAGTATTCACTCTTTATTCGAAGATCCTAAGCTGAGTTAATCACAAAATTTATGATCATTTTCAGGCGGGTTTGGCCGAATTGCTGTACAGCAAATTCCGAGCATCTCTGATAGTGCTCGCTATTTACTTTATCTTGACCTTGTCACATCATATCTGGATCATTATCGATCACCACAAAACACCAAACAAACATGAATGGTCCACTTCTCTAACAACACTGTTTATCATTCAACGAATTTGTACGACAAACTTTGAATTTTCAAGGAAAATATATGATCCTAATTACTTTTTCTTCTGCAAATTTCAGTTTCTCCATTCTATTATTACACCTACAAAAGAGCTGCCCTGAAAATGAGTGATCCACGCTTCTACGAGAATCTTGATTGGGTTTCCGAATTCCTGGCCATTCGATAAATTACCATGCAGAAAGACAGTTCTCAAAAATAATGACAAGTTGGATGTGAAACGTGAAGTAAATTGATTAATCAATGATATAAACCGCAGCTGTTGTGAATTCAATTGTATAAAACGTAGATGGAATGCAATTATATGAGATAAATGTTTTTGACTATGATATTTAACTGGAAAATTGTTCGGTTTGAAATGAATACAAAAAAATGATATTTTTGGCTAAATATACTCTGTAGCCAAATTTAAATGGAGTTGTTTCATTTTTTTTGTTCTTATTTCGTACGTAAAAGAATTGAGCATCAATTTTTGCTACAAATGAGAATGAATCGTGCTGAAATTCCAAATTATTAATTCAAAACCATTTTCACATCAATGGAATATTAAAGTTTCGAAATTGACTTCATATCCATTGTCGTAATCAATCTCATTTTGATTATTTCCTCCTTTGCAAACCAAAAAAATCCGCTCCACTAAATGTTTGCTGTAATGATGGCAATCGAATGTATAGGTGCTGCCACCTGCACAAACCATGCACCTTTCAAACAATAATATCAGATGTTTGACGTTTCAAACAAATATTTTATATCGTACGTACGTATTTAGTGGCCGTAGCTCATACACAATAGACAGAGATCAAAACATAGTCGATATACAACGAACACTACATGAATGAGAAGTGTAGTGAACGAAAGAAAATAATATACGCACACTCGTACACGAATTGACACTGAAAGAATAACAAAAAGACGAAAATCATCAAATCAGTCATAGTTTATAGTGCAGTTTTCTTTATTTTCGTTTCTTGTGAAATTTCTTAGTTTGTATATAAATTCTGTTCTAATGTCTTAATATAATTAATAATAATTACAACAACAACAACAACAACAACAACCAACAAAAAAAAACATTTACTAAAACGACGAACGTAAAAAAAATCGTGAATTATTCAACACAAGCAATAAGCGATGGTTGTTTGACGAGAGCTGAAAGAATCAATTTGTAATTTGTGTGCTGGAACTAATCTCATCTATTTTACACTTTCACACAAAATTGAATGCGAAAAACTCGATCGGAAAACGGAGCGTGTGCAATTTTGTTGGTCGTTTTTAGTTTGATTTGATGTTAATGTATTACGACTGACGTGCAAATCAAAAATTTGTATCAGCTGTAATTGAGTGTGACTAAAGAGAAATTGCAATGTAAGTGATACAGTCGTAGTTGAGGAGGGACGTTGTACGGAGCAAAACTCCGATTCGAAGCTCTACTGACACAAATAAATCGCGTTTTTGGGCATTCAAAATGTTTCGCGTAATTTTTTCTTCTTCTTTTTTTCGTTTCTCCTGCTCGAAATGAATCACACTGAACATGGAGTCATTGAATTTTCGATGAAATCAGTCGACGAAATTCATCAATTCGTGCATAGATTTTTTTTTTAAAGGAAATATAAAAAAAAAATGTTGCTACTTCCAGTCAATTGTTTCAACGTGCTTTATTTGTTTTTCTCCTTTGTTTGATTTCAACGATTTCATTGAAACATATTGTGTAAATATTATTCCGAGTGTGTCTAAGGAACTCTTTATTCGGTTCGATGCGAAAATGCGTATCGCTTCATTACGTGATCACTATTGCGCTGACTGGAAGTAATCTAGTCATCGTATCGGGTGTATTGTGCTAATAATTACAAAAATAGCTGGCATACATCTCGAAAGGAGTTGTAGTGTTGATAAATGTCGTCAAACGGAGAGAATGGAAAAATTATGAATAAATTATTCACACACATAAATTCCGAGTAGAGAAGGAATTTTTGCGAATGGCACACGACGCATTTTGATGTGTGTTGATCGCGTTATTAGTGTGTCTGCGCATCTGAAAAAGTGTTTGTAAACAAAAGGCAATAATAACGACTTACCATAAAAATAGAATACAAATTACAACAAATCCGAATATGAATAGAAAGAGCGTGATGACGACGGCGACTAGACGCTTTGTGAATGCAGCGCAATTTGTACACTCGATTCTCTCGTGTTCAATGTTACTAATTATGCATGAGATGAACGTCCTAATTTGTTTTTTTTTTCTTTATACTCATAAGAATGTGACGACATAAAATGTAATAATCGATTTCTTTTTCTTGTTCGTTTTCGTAGAAACGTGGCGAACGTGAAACAGACGACGAGATAAAGGACAAAATGGATCCACGGCAAATAACACGTCTGGCAAAATTGCTGCGTGAAAACGGCGATAAAGTGCTCAGTTCCGAATATAAAATTACATTGACCGGTTCATTGATGCGCGCACTCAATGATTCATTTTCACTGATTACCGATCCGAATGAAACGTGTACGCCAAACACATTTCAGGTGCTCAAGCCAAACAATGCCAAATCCGAAGTGTTCCGAGATCTGCAAATTATCTATGATTTTGTGCAGAAAGCGCAAATTTTGTGCTTAGTAGCAATACCTACAGAAGAACCATTCGATGGTGATATTGACATAAAGAAATTTCGTAATCTGAGACGATTAGAAATTCAGAAAATTCCCATCGAACAAATTGTCGGCATTCAACGGTTGCGTGCTCATCTTCAGGAGCTCATCTGTTCGAAGAGCATCACCAGTATCCAGTCAATTATTGCCCATTGCGGTGGCGATAATGCAAACGGATTCCTTTGGAATGAATTAAAAATGGCTGATTTTTCCTACAATTACCTCAGGACGATCGACTGTTCGCTGGAATTTGTGTCGAATTTACAACAGTTGAACCTGAGCCACAATCAAATTGTCAGTGTGGACGCTATCAAATGGTTGCCAAATCTCAAAAAATTAAATTTAAGCTACAACAATCTGTCACACATACCGCAAAGCATCGCATCGCGACGTCTTCAATCACTCATTTTAACCAATAATTTTATCGAAGATTTACGCGGTTTGCCCAAACTTGAAGCACTCAGCGAATTGAATTTAGCTGACAATTGCATTCTGGATCATGCAGCGCTTGAACCACTTGGATCGTTGATTGCACTTCAACAGCTCCAACTGCACGGCAATCCAATTGCATGCCATCCGCATCATAGGGAAGAAACATGCAAATATTTACACAAAAATGTTGCTAGTGTTAAGGTAAACTGGTGGATATTGCGTGAAAATCAGATTTTTATACTAATTCATTTTGATTTCATTTCCATAGTTTGTTCTGGACTCAGAACCGTTGAGTAAATATGAAAAAAATTTGGTTGGATACTATCAGAGCATTAACAAATGGCCTGTAAAACCTCGACCACCAAAGTGGATATCATCAAGTGGATTATCCACGCCAGGCAGTGGACGAACAAATGAACAAACTCCTGCAAGCAGTATAGGATCATTGGGGAGTTTTCAACTCGAATCGAGCACGAGTAGTACAGGTTTGAAGGACATTTTAATCGTCATATTTGATTCGAATGTGAACTAAACTTTTGATTCTGAATTTTTCAGTTGATTTCCCGGCAATGAATGACTTGAGTACGTCACAACTCAGCACATCTACTCAGAAAAAGATTAAAGTAAGACCGGCCGATATTCGTGATGACGATGACAATAATGACGACGATGATGATGGCATCGAAATTGTCAAAGCGAAACCACCGAAAAAAGAGAAGCGCAAATCATCAACAGCATCGGGGATTGATGGGATTGACGAAATGGGAAGCCAAGAGCATCTCAAAACAAAGAAGCAAATTGAAGATTTGCGCAAAGAATACGGCGATGATTGGTTGCACAGCAAGGAGGTGCAAGATATGATGGGAATTCAGGCTCCGATCAGAATTTCTTCGCCAACAACTGAAGAGAAATTGGAAACGCTGTACGGGTTAGAATCAAAGATCAACAGAGATCGAACATCGACTCCAATTCAACAGTCGAAACACGCCGATTTTGCTCATTCATCCATTGAGGTATGGAATTTGAACACTTAACCAAAGTTCATACTCGTTCAGTTTGAATTCAATGAGTGTTTTTTTTCTTCATGTGATTGAACATGTTCCCTTTTCAATAGCAATTCCAGTCGCCAACTTCATCGACGAGTGAATTCAAAAGTGTTGACCACAGCGACCAGAGTTCACAAAAACTTCAAAGTGCTGCGGAATCATCGATGGAGAGAACAATGTTCAGATCGACAATAAGCGAAGATGAAAATCTGAGAAACTTGTATCCATCGTCAACGTCAATGGAAGCCGAATCGCTGTCGGATACAGAAGAAAATGAAACCATTTATCTCGTGACCAACGATATCAATCAAACGGATCTTCTTTTGGTTGTGTCGGATCAAAGTATACGTGAAAAGAATTCGTTAACCGGTAGAACCATAAATCAATGGGCCTTGACTATGCTGGAGAGTTCCGAACTTGTTAGCACGGATGTGGTGCGCATTCGATTCGATACCATCAAAAAGGATAAACGAGAACGCACTTACAAAATGAGTGAGAGCGGCCATGGAAAGAAATTGGACGATTTTCTACGAAATATTTTATCACAACGTCCATTGTCCGACATCATGATCGTATTCCGATGTGCCAACTGCGCGCTACAATTTTCACAAGAGAAACTTCCGCGGAAGAATGGTGAAAATTCTGCACTTACACGTTTTATTTAGCTCAATTTTATTTTTAAAAAAATGTTGCTTTCTGTCGCAGGTGTGAAGTGTCCCGACTGTAACAGTACGTATGTTATCGAGATGAAAGTGCAACAGTCGGAGTTGTCGTCATCATCACCGAAACAGTCTGATCCGGTGCCGCTGGGCAATTCAAATTCACATAGTAGCATCGGTAAGAGCTCATGCCTTATAATGATCATTAATCATACTAGTTGAATTTTGGTTTGAAATAAATGTAGTTTTAATAAGACTTAATTACCAGCGAATACATTTGCATAATTGACATCAGTATGTGTACATATCCAGTAAAACTTCATTGCTGCCATGTAGCAGAATAAGTGTAGCACAAAGTTGCTCATTATTATTTAAGTTTGCAATGTGTCCAAAACGCATGAATACGACGATTGAAATATCGTATACTGCGGCAACGCAAGCAGAAAATTATCGCGCGATATTTATGCGATAACTGCCTTATGCGATGCCGTATTTATGCGTTTTGGAAACATTGTAAGTTTGATATACTGATCGTTGTAAATGTATTTAACGGGAATAGAGTGTGCATGCGTTTTTAGATACCATGTGAACATTTCTGAGTTTAACGATTCATTGCGGATTTAATAAGATAAAAACCCCTCAATTAAGTTCCATTATCCACGATCAAGCTTCGACTCTATGCATGCAAAATAGAGTTGACACCTGTATAAAGCAAACACGGTAGCCATTACGTCATTATATCAACCAGTTTCACCTCACTATTTAACGACATGCAAAACTCCAACTGAACGAAGATTCTTTCCGACGAAAGTTCTATGTTTGAAGTTCATTTTCCTTTGAAATTCATGTTCGAGGCCTGAAATCATAACAATGTAAATATGATTCATGTTATTCACAGCAACATTCAGCCGATGGATATTACGCAAGCATTTTTCTCAGCGATCGAATCATTTGCTATTGTGTATATAGCAACATTGATTAAATGTCATGCATACATCACTAATTTCTGGAACATTTCCATTTCTTCTTCTCTTTTTCCCTCTATCGAATGCCGATATTTTAGCACGTTTCTAATTTGGAACCAAGGAGAAACCAAAACATGAAAATAACAAAATAACCAAGCTGGTTGAAAAAATGTTTATGCGATTAACCACTGACGGTGGTCTTTTTGATGATTTTAAATGGTTCAAAATAACACAACGAAAACATAATTGAATTTTTTTTTCTTTAAATCATTATTAAAGAATAATAAATACTTATCAACAATGGATAACGTTCATTTGATTCATTGCATGACTTATTTAATAAATTCAAAATTAAATTCATATTTATTCAACATTTTAACATAAACTCAACGGAATACACTGTGCAATCACAATTTAAATGACTCACACTTTGATGCACGCTCACGGCATAACTACATGATCTCATACAATTCTCTATTATTGTCGCCTTATTTCCATGCAAATTTTAATAACTAATTTATCTATATCAAATTGTATCACCTGTGACAATTGAAAGCACTGCGACACGAAACGATTGGAAATCAATCTACTAAAACGTTAGGATTTAATGAAAATTACGATAACAAAACTGATCACACCAAACGTAAGACTTTTTTTCCTTGGTATTTTATCATTTTTTTCCTTCACAAATTTTTAGTTTAAAATTCACCTTGCTTAGATTGGTTTTTGTTGTTCTCTTACTCGGGTAAATTGGGCGTTAATTGTTTTTGTTTTGAATGCAATAATTTTTAATTCCAAATAATAAGTAGCACTTTCCGTTCCTAAATGGTGTCTATTTAAAATATTTGTGTTGGTTGCTTTTGTGCTGGTGTTTTTTCTCTTCCCCCGCAAACATTTCAGTATATCCATTCATAAAATCCGTTAGATCAACTGTAAACGAATTATAGAGATAAGAATTTGCAAAAAATGATACAAATTAATGAATGAATTTCCCATTTTTTCTCTCGTTTTGCCAATCGACTAATCTTCTATCTTCCGAACATCATTGCGTTCATATCGGTCCAAACATAAAAAAAAAACACACAAACACAACCACTAGATTCGGCTAGTTCATTTAATGAAAGCTTGTCACAATCAAAACTCTCCAACTGTTCACAAAGTTCATTCGACTCGAATCAAAGTCTGATCGGCAGCACAACCAATTGCGAACACACAAATGATTTAGACAGCTATTTTGCATCACGTTTTGGTGCACCGCCCGAAAGTGACGTGGAAATCTTAAGTAATCCAAGCATTAGTAGTATCGAAGTGCTGGACCGGTTCAGCCGTCAATCGAGCCGCAAACAATCGGAAGATTCACGATATTTATTACAAACACAATTATATGTGCAACAGCATCAGCATCAATTCAATAAATCGAACGATGGGTCTGCATGCCATTCGCCATCGCTTGATTTACTTATCAAATCGACAAGTAATAGTGATATTGAAGAAATTTTAGATGAACCCGATCCAATGACCATCGCTGGTGATTCGGTGGATCAAGTAACAATCACACAGGCCGATGATATAACAAACACCAACAACAACAATGACAAGGCCGAAGTGAACGAAGCACTGCTGAAACCGAAAAAACCGATTTTGACCGGCATGAATTTGACAGAGAGTAGCTCATCCGGATCGGTGACGGACAGTGTGTGCACCGCGTATGAACATCAAGCGGCCGAAGGCAAGGCTACCGAAGAAACAACGACAAGTATAACAACTATGACAACTATGACACTGGCTGAACCGGAATCGATTCCAATCGCCGAAGAGGAAAAGAAGGAAATGGAAAGCAGCAAAGTAGAGGAAGGTTCGATGATTTCAAATATGTTTGGAGGTCAGTAATGGGATTTAGTTTGGAAGAATTGAAATTGGACCATTTTTTTTGAATCAATATACCTTTTTAATTTGCAGGTCTCTTCAATTCGACCAACATTTTAATGGCTCGCAGTGTAAAAACATCGAAAGTGGAAGCGCCACCATGTGATAAGTTCAAGTTTTCGTACACCGAGTTCGATTACGTGGACCATCGATTGAAGGTATACCTCTATCAGCATATCTTCGAAGATGACAACGAGCATTTAAAATGGCTTGTGAAAGGGTGTTTATTCAGTGACACGGCAAACAGTGATCCGGATGCTAAACTTCAACCGGCTATATTCGTGATGTCTACCACAAAGTGGTATGTACTGAATATAATTGGCAAAGAAAATGACGACGTGACGAAGTGGGTGAAACGAGATGCATTCGGAACGATAAATCGAGTCGAAATGATCCGAGTGCTGCCTTGGAAAGTTGGCATCACATTTACGATTAAATACTATGGCAATATTCATTTCTTCCTACAAGATATTATGCGAACCGACAGTTTGCTGCTGTTTTTTGCAAGTAAGTCGATTTTTGAATCAAATTATTTTCGATCAACCCAGATTACGATACATGATTAAAGACAATTTTCTTATTTCTTTGCCCTTCAGACAACCCATTGCCCGTTTACTGTGATCTTGAGTACCAAATATCCGAGCGCATATCACAAAAGCTACTTCAAATCACCGACAACGTCCAATTGAAAATGTTAACCATTCTGAATAACTGCAAAATTATCGATCAAAATGACAGCAGCACCGTGCATGAGTATGCCGCTTTCATTCTCACCGATTCCAATCTGTATGTGAGCACACCGAAATACGGATGGACCGTTGAGAAACTGGATCGCAGCATTGAAGTGGCACAAATGCAGCTGATGATGGATTTGGTCGATGTTGAACATATTAACGAAACCACATTTATTATCAGTTTTCTGGATGAAATCCAGGATAAAAAACAGAAATGGGAGTGCAAATTCGAAACCGGCTCCTGTCTACAAAACACATTCGAAACGCTGGCGGCGTCATGGGAAAAATTATTCAAAGTGCCTTTGTCAAATAATTAAGCAAACATGAAATATCATAGCGAATTCGATTACGTCGTTAGAAATTACTTTATGCATCACTTCCTGATTCGGATGACAGTGATAAATTCATTTCTGAAAATTGTATGATTTAGAAACAAAAGAAGGAAAAATGATTAGCTGAGCTGGAATTCCTAGGGGGAAAGAACTATTGGTATATTTACTTCATTGACACGTATTGACAAATATTCACAGGCATTTGCACTGCGTTCCGTAGTGTTATTGTTGTTGTTTTCTTCTGTTGCTTCGTCTCGTTCGTGGCGAGCAGGAATGACAGTTGCAAATACGCACATTTTATTGACCATATTTGCATGCATTCGCAGCTAGTTATTTAGCGGATTGACACGCATTGGCGTGTATTGATCCAAACTCGGTAGAATATGCGATTATTTACAATATTTATATTTTCATTTACTCAGTTCTTTCCCCCTAGTGGAATTCTAGACATTCCACCAAAACTTTTCGGAATTATTTTTTTCGTACATAAGACTATATTGGAGTGAAAGAGAGAGATTCCACTATTTTTCATCGAGCCATCGGAATTATTCCGATAACTCAAGGAAGAGTGGAATGTATGAGAAATAATTCCGGTGGATCGATGAAAAATAGTGGAATCTCACTCTTTCACTCAATTATAGTTTTATGTATGAAAAATATAATTCCGAACAGTTTTGTTGGAATGACTTGAAATTCCAGCCCTGATTATTGTTCAAAATTCTTTCTCGGTTGCACAAGGACCCTTCATTTTGCATGCATTAGAATGCAGCGACGGCAATTTTCATTTCTTAGAGCAAAGTTGCGTTTCAAACAGATTGAATAACCGTTTCAGCAACTTTCCATCGAAAATGACTTCAGTTAATAAATGGATGCAATCCATTCAGCTAATTTTCCGTTCTAGACATAAGATTATGCGAGCAGCCAATACTAAAATTCAATTATTATTTTTAATTTGACGATACGATTTTAGACAGGAACAGAACAAGTAAATATGTGAATGTTGTAGAAATATGTGTGAAAAATTATTGTTTGAATTGTGTCTGAACGAATATGGGTAGTTGTCCAATTTCCACACAAATAGAAAATCAATCTGTATTATGTCAAACGAGAAAGATTTAAGATGAACATTTGTCGCGTGTCCATTTTAATGGTCAAATGCAAATTCTTAGCGTTTTTCTCCGTTAAACAGCTATTTTCGAATGGTTCAGATTGCCAATGCTCGTTATAAATGTAAATAGGTCTCGTATTTTAAAGAAATGATTACAATTATAAGATGATTGAAATTTAACTATGAACATTTTTGACTTCATACCCAATAAATCATTTTGTAATATAAAACACTTATGAGAAATAAATTTATTTGACTGAAAACCAGTCAACAATTCAAATGAAATATGCATATTATTAATTGAGTCCATTATACAACAGCAATTGAATTTATGGGCAACCTTACTGGAGTTAGTAGTTTTCTGGTTGGCTATTTACCAAGCCAACACATTTTCCTGCGAAAGTTTTGGGTTTGCAAACAATTTAAAATCACATTTAAATTTATTTTTTTATTATTTAGCAAAAATTAAGCTGAACGAAGGGAATCCGTGGATTAGATTGAAAAAAAATCTTTTTTATCTAATCAAAATCATATTTCTATACGTAGTATACTTAGCTCTATCCAGCCTAATGAAAATGTCCATGAAGATTGCGTAAAAGATGTATTAAATTGTATATAGAGGTCATGGTAAGGAAGTGTGTTGTGAGACAAATTTGACGTAACAAAATACGATAACGCCTAGTCTTCTGCATATCGGGCTATAATCAAGAGATTACTGAGGACATATGCCGAGTATGAAAGTCGATAGTAGCGCAACTGTGAAACACAATTGATTAAGTATGAAAAGACGTAAATGTTGATGCCAATTTGACTGAGTTTTTCATGCTCTGCATATATCCTCAGCTATTTTGCATATACTGTTATCGGGAGAAATTAAATACGCTCATGGAAATTTAACTACATAAACGGAATTTTTAGCGCACGTATGACAATCGTGATAAAAGTTGAACCAAAAATATTGTTCAGTCCAGTTGTATTTTAAAAACCTTCACTCCGTTCATAATACCGTACCTGTTCCATTCTTTATACAACGAGTGAATCCATTTGATAATCTGAAAAAAAAAGTTAAATCTTCCCAAAATAGACAATTCAGTTCTCATTTTTCGGCATACTCTCTTCAATAGGGAAATTCAAAATGAAAGCCTTGTTACCTTGGTTGATTGCAGTGATTAGCTCAGCTAGTGCGTTAACTACATCTAATCCGTGTGACCGGTTTCAAACTGAATATGGTTATAATTGTAAATGTACCGAAATCTATTGTGATACTTTGGATGTACCTGAGCCTGACTTTGGCAACGAATACGTATGGATTACATCATCGCAAAACGGAGAACGATTCTCTTATAAAAATGGAAATTTTTCCACTCGAAATTCGTCTGAATCATTCCACGAAAAAGAGATTGTTTTATGGATTAACCAAAGAATAAGATATGAGAAATCGAAAATAGTCGGCTTTGGTGGAGCACTTACTGGAGCTTCTTCATATGTTGTGGGAAAATTCTCATCGAATTTGAAGCTAAGTTTTTACGAAAGCTATTTTTCGAAGAAAAATGGAATTGGATATAATATGTTAAGAGTTCCAATCGGCGGATCAGACTTTGATTTAACCCAATGGACATATGAAATGGAACCAGAAAATGATACGGATCTTTTGAATTTCACCAAATTGGATGAACGAGACACAATGCGAAATGCACAAATTAAAGAAGCAAAACAAAGTACGGGTAATGATGATGTAATAATTTTGGGTGCTACTTGGTCACCACCGCGTTGGATGAAAGCAAAACAGGAATGGTATGGAAAGGTCGATAATCAACTGCTGCCCCAATTCTATCAAACATGGGCGAATTATCATGCTAAATGGTTGAACCTCATGAAAGATGATGGAATGCCAGTTTGGAGTATCTCAACCGGTATGAAGAGATCAAATTTGTGGAATAAATAATTAATTTTGGTCATTTCACACAATCTTTTGTCACAGCTATTAACCAAACATGTCACTTTTGCATTCCAACAGGAAACGAACCGCATTTCGCACGTAATCAAGTCTATGGATTTCCAGCGATCAGTTGGGAGCTGGGTAACCAATCCGAATGGCTCATAGACAACCTTGTACCAACGCTGAAAAAGTCGGGAAATTCACAAGTAAAAATTCAACTGTACGACGATAGTCGTGACATTGCTTTGGAATATTTGGAAAAGATGTTCGAACAACGCAACGATGTGATGGAATATGCTGATTACATAAGCCTACACGCATATTTCGACAGAATATCATCGCCAGAAATTCTTGATGAAATATATGCCAAATATGATAAGCAAATTTTGTACACTGAAATGAGTTTCGCTGTATTTAAAGGAGAAAAAGTGTTACCAGGATCATGGCCACGGGCTGAAGAGTTGATAAAGATATTGATGGAAACTTTGCAGCATAATGTTGCCGCGTACGTTGATTGGAATTTAATTCTGTTAGAGACCGGGGGACCATCGTATTTGGGCTCATTTATTGAAGCATACATTCTGGCCAATGAAGACTTTACCGTGTTTTACAAACAGCCACTCTTTTATGCGATGGCACATTTTGCCAAGTTCATTTCACCGCATTCAATTAGAATCAGTTCAGCTGTTATCAATCCAGGCAAATCACAGGTGATAACAGTGGCTTATCTGAGGCCTGACAATAAAGTTTGCGTTGTCTTATACAACAATGGCACTAATCCGGTCGCATTAACCTTAGCCGATGATTTAAAAGGGATAACAAAACTTCAACTAAAGCCAAAATCATTAAATACACTCATTTACTCCACTCGAAGTGGCTAACACTTTAACCTTCAAACCGTAAAATGTATTTTCTAACGTTGTTCGTAAAATCGGTGCCTGAGTGCCCATAATGCATTTTATATGGGAAATGTCATGTATTTATTGATCGGAAAAGTATAAAAATGACTTTGAAATGTGATAAAAGTCATAAAAAATCGAAATACGAAAGACAACAGCAAGTTTTTTGGAATTTTTTCAATAAAGTGGAGATTGCAATGTTGATCTCTTCATAAAAATGAAGGCAAAAACGTATACATACAAATTCCACTATGGCCGATTTTGACGTCAAAAATTGATGTTTTGAACGGCAGGTTGGATCAAAAGAAATATGTATATCATGAATTTTTTTGACCAAAATTGATGAAATGGCCATATTTTGATACAATTTTGATCGATTTTGATATTTTATAACTCGAATTTTATGTACTGTTCAAGATCTTTCCAATGATGTATATTTCATAGTTCGCACATTAATTTTTATACGCGATTTGTCGAAAAATGTATATGGGCACTCAGGCACCCATTTTACGTATAGCGTATCACACATGTTTACGCGCATATGTGGTAAGCTAGTGCGCATATGTGGTAAGCTAGTGCGCGTATGTGGGCATGTTAACGCAATTTTTGTAGCCAAATGTTCAACGAATCGAACCATGGTTATTTTATTAATTTGTGATAAGAAATAATTAAGATATGAGCATTCAAAGTTGGTTTTGGGCACACGGTGCCCAATTTACGGTTTGAAGGTTAAATACTATTATTCAAACAACATCGAATTTTTATGGTAAAATTATGTCTTTATTATTTCCATCCTTTTGATTTTTTTTAAAACATTCAACACTTTTTTTCTTTAAATATACGTAAATAGATTTCAATGGTTTTAAATTGTGTCCATCCTATTCGAGTTTTATTTTTCATATCGATTTTCTACTTGTTTTTAGCCAAATAATTCTCATATCAACAATAGACATAAAAGGTAAATTGTTTTTTCTCTTTATATTTAGTTTCTTCTTAGTATTGTCAATAACCCAACTACTAACATATCAGTTACGAATTTACATTTGAGAGAATCCGCAGCTATAGTATAATTTATTCCACACACCGTGCGCGCGCACACAAATCAAATATAGTTTGCCTTTATATTTAGGAAAAACCGATTCAACGGAACAAAAATGTTCTATTTCAACTCATTATTTCATCAATTTTCACCTAAATCATAACGAATATTCTTATAAAGCACTCCGTTGATGAGACGCAAAATGTTTCCGATCGACTTTTCCCGCCTTGTTTGCAGTTGTGGTAAACATAAAAAGTGTATATTGGTTTTCGGCTCTCGATAAACAGAAACTTTCTGCGCCTCAACGACCGAGTTGTACATCAGGAGGAAATCTTAAATCTTCGGGAGAATTTCGATTCCACTCGACTTAATTTATTTTATTATTTTCTATACGTCAACATTCAACACTCAATATTTAACTATGCAAACTATTTTCAAGCAAACTCCGTGAAAAGTGGTTGCATCTTATCGCGAATGCATGCAGTATGAATATGCCACAAAATTCCATCGATTGAATACAACTATTTTTCGTTGGCAGAAGAATCATTGCCAATGATGGAGTCAGCTCCATTTTGAACATCACACTGATGTAGAACAATTTCATAATGAAGGAAAACGGCAGATTCTTGTTGATTGAAACATCCACGAACGAAAGAATGCAAATGTGTTGCAAACGAAACATTATTGTTGAAAAAATGTTTGACTTTGAAAAAAACTCATAATCGCTCATTGGAAACAAATTGAATGCGCCTGTAACACGTTTCAATCGCTCAGAATGAAGGGAACTTATTGTCAAAAGAGAAACTTCATGCCTATTCGACACTGCTTAAAATTAGATCAAAATTAAGCTGCCGGTTGGCAGGCACTTTTGATTATTCATCTTCAGAAGGAACACCGAAACCCGACACATTTTCAAACGTTTTTATTTTTATTTGAATGAATTTCAACATGAAATCAGTCGATACAAGAAAGTATCTTTTTCAAAATGCGAAATAAGAGTCAGGCTTCGTCATTTCTTCCAAACAAATCACTCTTTTTGATTCCTTGCGTTTTTGATTCTGCGGCGGGCTTTGTAGTGCATAGTATGCACCCCACAATACACATTCCGTGTGTGGTTAGATTTAAAGCTTAAAGTGAAGTTAGTTGGAGCCGAATTTGGTTTAAACTACTCATTTTCGTAAGTTAACGATTGATTTTAAATTTTACATCTTGATTCTTCTATCTCAACTACCGTTTGGGACAATATCTATGCTTTTGTTTTCTTTTCAAGAAAATCACATTTAATTTATCTAGTGGAATGTTGTTTTTTTTATTTGGTTTTTCAAAACTTTGTTGATCGAAATTTCGCTAAATATATTGATATTCACTAGGGTAGGCCGATTGAATGGTTTTATCGATATCAAAAACGGTGTACGAGCAGTCCAGGAAAGCCTCCTCAAGAGGAAAAAGAACAAAAAACTTCCTCTGACTCAGAACAGAGAACGTTAGAAACGTGGCTTGGTGTTGTTAGTCAATATAAAACCGTTCAATCAGCTCACCCTAGCATTCACCAGGCGCTCAGTCAATGGGCTACAAAAATCAACTGACGATAAGAGATTGTTGATAGAATAATGAAAATGCACCTCTACTATTATTTTATTAACAAAATGTTTGAGTCATACATCGAGAGTATAGGATAAGTCTCTAAGAACAATTTAGAACAATGACTTGGAAAAGTTTTTATCGAATGCAGAACAATTCAATGTTCGGAAAATCGTTAGGTGGTAATCTTATTTAAATTCACCTAACTTTGTTGAAAGTTTGCAAAACATTCGTAAACATTGGAATAGGTTTCCGTCTTTGAGAAGAACAACAATCAACAATCCCTTGTTCATCATCATACGTGTGTTCGAATCGAAATTCGAGGTTTATATTTAATTCAAAGAAATAAATTTTATGTACATTCTTTGTTCTACCGCAAATTTTATGTGTTTTTTTTTCTTTCTAAAAGAGTTCCGTCAATTTCCAGCGCAATCGAGTATAATATTATGATTTGATTATTTGTCAATGATTACAATAAATCTACTTTCAAATGCGCGACAAATGGAAAGATTTCATTTAATGTGTATATGTTTTGTTCAAATTTCAAATATTTGTTCATTTGTCTCTGGTATTTTGTTTTTATTCGATTTGAATCATTTAAAAAAAAGCAGAAACTAGTTTGTCAAATTTACACGTTGAACACATTTGTGTATGTTTATTTGGTTGGTTACTTCAAGCAAATCTCTCAATTTTATTTTGTTACTGAATTGATTACTATTTCTTTTTATTATTATTCGTAATTAAAATAACGAAAAGACTTGTTACTATTATCATTTTTCTTTCTTTATTTCAATATTTGTACAATCAAAATGCAAATTTGTTCTTTGTTTTTTTCTTTGTGGTTGAAATAATTATTACTGAACTATAAAGTGATAGCGTTTATGGTGTTTTTGTGTTAATAAGTCGTAGAATGTACGAAACTAGATTAAAATTAAAATTTGATGATTATTGCAAACAATACTATTTTGTTATTTTTGGTTTTGGTTTAAATGTTAGTTGTTGTTTGTTTTTATGGGAGGGTTAAGAAGGAAAGATGCCAAATTTCTCGAATCGGCTATTCATTACACACTACATGGAAAAAAATTGACAGCAAAAATTGTGCGCATTATAAGTGTTTCTTTGTTATTGTTTTAAAGAGAATGTTTTTGATGCATGAATTTTGAGAGAAAAGTCGTAAATAGAAGCAAATGAGAAGAGAGGCGCATGGCACGACCTTTACATAAGCGGCAATGTAAATCAAAGTCAAATACCGTCCGTATGAACTCCCAATCTAACAGCAACACTGACTTGTCCTCACGCATACCATGCAACACTGCCATTTGAACTGATCACAAAACTGAATGAAGCTTACAATGTGGCCCTTGTTTATGCTTGATGACATCTTGTCATAATCCATTTGGATGAATGGAACATAAAATCGATTAAACTTCATTGCGCACGCTATTGAATGTATACATGTACGCTCAACAACAAAAGCTTTTGACTGGATGCCACTTGTCGATCAAACAAACAAAAAGAAGAAAAAAACCCGAACAATATCGTAAGGTACATCGAATTTTGTGAAGGGTTCAAACAAACAGTGGACGGTTTGGTGTAAGGGATTTTGAAGTTTGTTTGTTAGAGAGAGCCATAAGACTGTTTGACAAACGTCAATGCCCTGCGAAATGAAACGAAAAAGGAAAAATATAATTTAAACGTAAAAAATTAGTGACAAGAGTATCATTTTCTTAAAAAACAAGAAATAATAATCAAAACAACAACTATGGTTCTCTTTGTTCACACAATTCTCCCTTAATTTGTTGTTCCGTGGGTGCTTGTTTTTTTCATTGGTGCTTACTCCTTCTCGTTATTTGCTGGTTTCAATTCCATTAGTTCATGCGGTTCGCCCTGATGAAATGATTTTATTGAGAAAGGAACAAGTTTTAATGAAACAGAAAACAAAGAAAAATGAAATAAAATTCAAATCTGTCCATTTGCTTTAAATTCGATCAAAAGAATTTTTTCGATGCGAAATTCAGTCACTTGTTCAATCCAAAAGAAATTAAACGGCTCATTTTTTAGACAGAGGTGATTGTAGTGCAACTCACCAATTCCGGACATGGTTTGTCTTTCAGATCATGCCGTGATAAATGATCGACCAAAATAGCACCAAGAGTGTCGCACATTACGTTGATTGTTGTTCTAAATCGATCCCTGTGAACGAAAATATGTGAGCATAAACGCATTGAAGCTGTGAATGTGGTAAAAATAGGTGGAAAGGCTTACAAAATCCAATCGACAGCAACGATCAATGAAATGTCTTCTGATGGTAAGCCGACTGTATCCAGCACCATGACCATGGTAACCAAACCGGCTGATGGAATGCCAGCTGCACCAATCGAAGCAGCTGTGGCTGTTACACTGAAAATTTACCCAAAGTTACCAAGTTAGCCAATTTTCGAAGCGAGTCAACCATCGATATTCGTTTATGCTCCATACCTGACAGCCACCAATTTTCCAAACGACAGCTCAACGTTTCGCAATTGAGCAATGAAAATGGCAGCAACGGCTTCATACAATGCAGTACCATCCATGTTAACCGTTGCACCAACTGGAATAACGAATCGAGTAACACGTGGATCGATGTTCATGTTGTCAAGTGTGTCGATTGTAACGGGCATTGTGGCCGAACTGCAAAGTAAACACAATTTGTACTTTTATTTTTCTTTCTTCTTGCTTTCTCTTGAACGTTTATGTGTTCAGACATTCAATGAAAAGATCTTTGGACGCCGCATGAGAACAGTATAAAAACCCAATTCCAACCTTGATCCAGTTCCGAATGCCGTGGCCAACATCTGGCCCATCTGTGAAATGTAACCGTATGGCATTTTTCGGGTGCAAACGAAGAAAATTACCGCAATTGTGCCGAACCCATGGATGAATAATCCCAACATGACGGTTATGAAGTAAGCACCAAGCTTGCCGACAATTATCGCCAACGAGTCCATTTCAATGATTTTAGCAACAACCAAAAAGAACACACCAAGCGGAGACAACCTAATAGACGGAAGAAAGTAAACGATTTAGTTTGAACTAAAACCGTTTTGCATGTGCTCAAAAGTTTGCAATAACGTAAAAAGTCTTGATTGTTTTATTGAGCTATAAAACTATCTTAATGACGTCGTAAAAACGGGAGCTGTGATTGCATACCAAATAACCCAGTGCGTGATAATCATCATGGCTTCGCTGGTGGCGACCAAAAAATCAAGCAATGGTTTGCCAGCCGAACCCAATTTTCCGAGCGCTGTTCCTAATACCACGCTGAACATCACAATTCCAAGAACATTTGTGGTAGTCGAATTCACTTGCTTGAAATTCCACAGATACAAGGGTACTGTTGCAAACATGTGGTGATGAGACGGAAAGACGGAAAAAAAAGTTATAAACAGAGATTCCAAAAATAATGATACAGATATAAAAATGATTATCTAATGGAAAGGTCAATCTGAATGGAATTTTTTCCGCATTTTTGATTTTCTTTGATTTTTTGATCTTTTGATTGATTTTTTTGGTTTGATTTCTTGATTTCTTGATTGATTTTGTTTGTTTTGATTTTCTGATTTTGTGATTGATTTCTTTGATGATACGGATAAATACTTGATGATTTAATTTTCATAAATTATAACCGGAACGAAAAACGAAAACCAAAAAATCGCTAACTCTTTCCTAAAAAAAAATAATCATAAAATCAAGAAATCAAATCTAAAAAAATCAATCACCAAATCAAAAAATCAAATCCAAAAAAATCAATCACAAAATCAAGAAATCAAATTCAAAGAAATCAATCACCAAATCAAAAAATCAAATCCAAAAAAACAATCAAGAAATCAATGACAGATGACCACCGAAAATTGTTATATATGGACACAATGACAACGGAATCCTTTCTAACTACGGAACATTCACAAATAAAATCTCATTCGAAAAAGACCATAAAATGGAGTATCTTCTATTTTGCTTACGTGATGTATTGCCATTTGGTGGAGACAATTCCGTTGATGACTGTGCACGAAAATAATGAAAAAAGATAAAGAGAGAGAATATTTTTCCAGTTACTTCAATTCATTCAACTCCATAAATGAAGGAAAATATCAAAACTAATTCAGTTTGCAAGTTTGAATGGAAATGCTACGAATCATAATAATGATGCTTTATGAATGAAACGTCCATCAGTTGACATAAGTCGAAAGACACAAAATCATATTATAATAACTACAGAGTTTTTGTGGGCGAAACTTAATTATCTCCACATCCTCCAGCATGGGAACACATCGTATTGGCTGGATGTTGTGTACGAGATGAATAAACATATTATACAAATTTGACGCAAACGCTTCAATAATGATGTACGCGTGCAATGAGTCTCGCTCTCGCCTCAGAAATAAGGACATGTGGCAAATATTATTCAGCAACCAATTGGATTTGATTACTTGCTCGCTACATTCTTGGAATCGAACTTTGTCAGACGTGCACATTTGATGCACGTGGCCTTCGTTTGTCACACGGGTCCATCAAATGTATGAAATTCATACATTATGAAAACCTTTCATTGAAGAGACTATTTGAGCGGGAGCATATCGTTGGAGAATACAAAGAAAACTATTGACTTTCCTTAGCAAATGCATACCGTTTTTTCGCAGAATACTCAATGCTCATTCGACTGTCACAGTGTATGTCAAGTTCATTGTTTATTCGCAATTAGTTATGAGCTTGAATGTTTTCATAATTAAGATTTTATTGTGCATGTGATGTGCGTGCGCGCGCTCGTTGAATAAGTCGTTCTAATTTATCATTCATATGATAATAAATTTCATGAAATAAATCAAAGTGTATCACACATTGAATGCGGTTAGTATTTAAAATAGACAGCAAGTAATTAAAATAAACTCGAAATGAATGAATATAAAGCCAGCGTCAAATTATGCATTGAGAATAAATTGAAAAGGTTTGCATTTTATGGAAGCTGGCACATCGAATCGATAACAAATTTCCGTAGAAATTCTCAAACACGATAGAATCGAATAAATATCGCTATTTAACATAATACGATTGATTTATAATGTTGAACGATTGTTAAATAGCACAATCGCTGCGACATTTTGGCGATGAAGTGTTTAATATTGAAATTTACATCATTTAATTTGATTTTAGCCATGTACCATATCGCTGCTGCGGTACAGTGCCTACCTCTATGGCAACACGATTTAAATCTTTGGAACTCTCTCACAAAATAAAATTCTTGCGAGATGCGTTTATTGTGAACAACAATTTTTGATGCCAATAATAAAGTCGTATAAATCAGCATTCCAAATGCCGGATTTTTTACGATTATAAAGGATACGAATTATATTGACGTGCTCATAACAATGCAAGGCATCAAATCGAGCGAATTTCCTTCAATATTTTCCTGTTGTCATTTCAAATTAAACAAAAGAAATGCTATTATTTCATTCGTTGTTTGCGTTGGTGCTTCCCGTGTTTCGCACATGTTACAATCAATTACATCACAGTTTTTTTTACCGCGTTATGGTGTTGTTTCATGAGTGCTCACTGCTCACGAACAGCAATAAACAAAATAGCAATTCGATTTAGATGGTTTTGTATCGAACATTTATTACTTTCGTTCAACCTTGATGGACGAGAGCATGTCTACGTCTTCGTTGCACGTTTTTTATTGGACAACCAACAAATGTTAACCCAGATTAACAATGATGCGAATCATTTTTTGTGTTGGCCTATTTCGGCTTGTAGCATACTTACTTGTGCAATTGTGGCTTCAATAATATTCGGTGGGAATACATTTCTGTGAACGAGAAAAAAGAACACCAGTAAATAATAAAACCCATTAAAAGCTTCGTCCAATGATTAATTCCCTTATTTATCCACATTCCGCCCGCTTAACAGACCATTAACACACCTCGAGCTAAATTTTTAAAATTAAAATATTCAAACATTTCCACAACAAATAAATAACAACAATAAATTGCATCGTCTTATTATACTGAACGTGACACAAAGTAAATAATATTTTTGACTTAAGAATTGATTTATAATTTCGATTTCTTCTCCATCTCTTCGTTCGAACGTTTTCTATGTTAACATGGAGCGCTCCACATTTTACGAGCGCATCGTTGGGAAAACCAAAAATCTCGCTTATTAAAGTGAATTGGGGATTCTTCTCGCCTCATTTTCCGTACGAATGGGGAAAATGGCATCGGGATGTCGCGTACTTCATATAAAACGAAATGTGCCGAAATAAAGAAATAAAATTTACAATCGACTTTTTTTGCAAATAAGGCGAAACATTGGCGCATTACATCGGTTCACGGTACTGTGTGTATATAGAGAACGTGACGCATCCACGCAACGTTCAATTTAAAATTGATTTAAATTAATGTTGGAAAATAGATGTTTAACGCAATCGGGCACAGTACCCAGAGGAGCACTGAAGCAGTCGGATCTACGGTTTGAGGCATTCGGAGATTTTCCGCCCTCATAGCGGAAATAAAATTTGCATTCAACTTCGATAAATTCTTGTTGCTTGACTTTTTACGTTCGCGCGTTCATGAATTTATGTTTGCGACTAAACTGGAATTTATTTTCAGCGTTTGGCAGTTGATGAAGAAAAAAGTGGCAGCAGTGGCAGTAGCTCCGGCGATAGCAATTGCCAGCGCCCGTAATAAGATCAATTGATTTTTTTTCTTATCCGATCTATACGCTTATTTTCCACGACGACACTTTACACAGCGCATTTATTGTTATTTTCGATTTGATGCTATTGGTATACTATTTGACTGGCACAACGTGAACACGCGTGTGTCTCACTCGGGAATTTCAGATGGGTTGCCGATGGTTTGATTGTGCGTTTGTAAACTCGTCGGCCTGAATGATGGTTTGAAGCACGTATATGTATCGGGAACATCACAGATCAATATATTCAATTTCAATCGAATGCTTTCCGATTCAAAGGCTAAAAGCCTGTTCATTGTGTGTGGGACGAGTGGATGGAGCTCAAGCACATTTTCATGCCATGTGTACATTGTTAATACGATAAGGTCGTACACAAAGTGGTGCGACATACAATCACAGCAACAGAACCGAGTGTCTCTTGAAGAGAAAATAAGTTTCCCTTGGTACGCGACCGAGCGTTTTATTGATGCCTTTACAGAGGCAGAGATGCGGCTTTCCGTCGATTTTGTTATTCTTTTTTTTACTGTCGTTTGCGAAATACTCGTTCAGTTTGAACGGGAAACACTCAAAATCGTCACAATAATGGGCTAAATACCGTTGAGACGCTAATATCCTGCATCCATAATCTATACTTTCTTTCCGATTTGCTTCGTTCACTCGGCTCCTCCCGATAAAATATCGTTTTCACCACTTTTATTTTCTAATCCACGAAAAAAATCGAAAAATAAGAAAACACTCAATATCTTATCAAGCTATCACAGACTATTTTGACTGTTTCGCGTGAAAACTGAATGCTTCGCATTGATTCCCAGTTTAAGCTGTGTGATAGTAATCATTTCATCGAGATTTTCCGTATCAATGAATTCTTGCTTTTCAATTTATGGATGTTTTTAATACAAACAACGTTTGAAATTCATTCACGAATGCGAAGTCGAAGTTCAAAGTGAACATTCCGATTGGCAGAAAATTGGTTTTGCTTGAAATTGAAATAAAAAAAAGCGAATAAATTATGTACGAAAAAAGTGATTTCCATGGCGAAATTTCTAAAGCGGATTTTGAGTGATTCTTTTTTTTTTTTTGTTCAATTCAGTCAAGGCCAGCTCAAAATGCATTTCAACAATTACACTTCATTGTTTGATGGATTATTGGGAGCGCGTGTATTCAACGATATAGAGTGACAATAACTGCAAATGGAGTGCATTGCATGAAGTGTGTAATATAAGCGAAATGGGGAGCCATGATAAGCACGCTTTTAAATGATATACTCATCCCAAACCATATGCAATCGGGTGCGTGTATGTGTGTGTATATCTGCAGATGTGCACACATGTGTGTACGAGTTCAACAAATGCATTGACAATTATTCTCGGCACATTCAATAAATCAAAAGTGCCTGGTCAGCATAATCTGACGTGATGAAGAATTATAAGATGCGGGTGCATTAGGGTAGCCCAAATGCCAAATGTTTTAAAATTTGCAGCTCCCTACCGCTGATCCGAAAATTTGGGCCGAAAAAATAAATTTAAGCCATTTTCCGACATACTTTTACTAATCAAATCCACTCCCCCGAGAGCTATGTAGTTTGTAGGGGAATAAAATCAATACATTGAAGAATATTTTTAAAGTTCATCCAAATATTTCAGCGAGTAACATTCATGAGGGTCTATAACAGTTCCATTCTGTCATTTTAGCACTATTTAGTACTACGTAGCATGTATACAGGTGGATAGGAACCATTGAGAGGATTTGGTAGTTTTTAGTACATTTTAGTACTCTTTTAGTACTTTTAGTACTGGGTCTGCAAAGCCCATGAGAAGTACTAAAAAGTTGCTTCAGAAACTATTGCTCTATTTCGAGTAGTTCGAGGTTTTATGACGTTATTCGTAGCGAAAATGTGAGATTTTGATCGATTTTGGCCATATTTTCGAATTTTGTACATTTTAACACATGTAAAATTCCTGAGTGAAGGTCTTAATCGCAAATTCTAATCATTTTCCGTCGATTCAGTGTTTTGGTCATAGATGTTTTTGCTGATAATCCGATGTGACAGCGCTACTTAGCGAAAAATCTATCAAAAGTGTAAACCGACGATTTTATTGACAATAAAATGCATTCGGATTGGCTGGTAATGGTCATATTCGGATTCTACGGAAAAAATTGACTCGATATAGGCCCAAAAATGAGTTTTATGTAGTGATTTTGAGGTTTTATGACGTTATTGTAGCAAAAATGTGAAATTTCGGTCGATTTTGGCCATATATTCACCCCTAACAGCTCAGTTTTGCACTTTAGAGCATTGTACTATTGACCAAAATTGTAGTACTGGACGCCAGCAGTAAGATCCAGTCATCTGTTGTCCAGTATAATTGCGATATAGTACCAAAATTTTTGAATATTCTTCAATGTATTGATTTTATTCCCCTACAAACTACATAGCTCTCGGGGGAGTGGATTTGATTAGTAAAAGTATGTCGGAAAATGGCTTAAATTTATTTTCTCGGCCCAAATTTTTGGATCAGCGGTAGGGAGCTGCAAATTTTAAAACATTTGGCATTTGGGCTACCCTAGGGTGCATACAGCAACAATGCAAACGAATTCTGCTCTATTCCATCGCGCTCATAATATCCGTTCGTTCCGGTTCGATCGAATTTTCCGACCTGCTTCCTGTACATTAGCATTGCCATTTCTAGTTGTTCATGGCATTATTCGATCCGATCGAACCAAGTGTTTCTGGCAGCAACAAACAACCCAACTATAGCAACACACAAACCAACCGATGATTTCGAATTCTCTGCATTCCCCAATTGACTCCCATTTCATCGCTAGCTGAATGTGCTTTTTAATTTCCCGTTCAATTTTCATCAGATTTTATTGATGATATCTGCATTTTAATATTCATCGACGAGATGAAGCGATTTAATTTCATTTGATAAAATTCCGAAGAGCTTCATCCAACCGTATAGTACTCGTATGGGATTGTGGACTTATTTTTTCGTAAAGAACTAATATGCGCCAACTCTAGTTTTTTTAAATGAAGTTAATTAAGTTCTCTTTCTTTTCTCCACATTTACATGTTATTTCGTGGGAAATTCTTCTGAGCCTTCAATTCGGTTAGAAAATCTCTCCACACCAATAGATTTCATTGCTGTAATGTGTGTTTTGACTATTTCTTAATAGCCGTACATGCTTGGCTTCATCTCCAATTTGTAGGTTGAGTGCAATGCAAATCGATAGATATTTTGCATCTTTTTCATCATTTTACAGATTCAACAAAATGAGGCAATGCTTGAGCCACCGACAACCATTAACAATTGGTATAAAATTGTTTTTTTTTTTCAATAGATCCAATGACCTTTTAATATCATTCTAATTGGAATGTTTTCGTTTACTTACTGAGAAACATTCGTGTAAACAAAACACTTAGCTGTTAATTTATATATTTATTCGTGAAATGTTACAGAATCCGTGTATTTTTTTCAATTTATATGTTTAAAATGGAACGTTTTCGGTTGATTCTGTCTGTGTTCGTGGAACTGATAAACAACAACTGCTTGGGGCTAGCGCAATGAGCATTTTTTCGCTTGGTCCTATTGTTCTACTCTCTTTTTGATAAAATTCAGATGTATTGGGTAAACTTCGGTTGGTACCAAAAGCACCTTGAATTATCTATAAACCAATCAACATCATTTTTGTAAACTGTCTCCAAATGTGTAAAGTCTTGCAATAATTTAAGAAAAAGTTGATCATTCGCGCATTTTCCCCAAAAATAAATTATCGCAATATTCAGATAACACTTGATAAGCGAAAAAAGCTCATTATTTCATAGTAAATATTTTCCGAACACTTCAAACGTACCAGAAATTCAATCAATGGATCATTTGTTCCAGCCTTTCTGAACATGAAAATAGTAAACAATACAGTGCCACCTGGGGACTAAGTGCAATGTGCCATACTTTCAACGTTTGAACAAACACAGACGCGAATTTGTTACAGCAGACTATCTGCATGATTCTCAATTTTTCCAACCAGTCTCCAGGTGCCGCTCTACTGTTCTTGTTTGACGTTTCCTATCTGTTTGTACAGACGATCAGAGAGGCTGATTTGTTCAATTTTGTGTCAGTTCAGTTTTTAAAGTGTGAAAAATCTGTTTAATCACTGGAATCCCATCGAAAAAGAACTGAAGTTCATCTTACCCAACTTTTTTTCAAAATTGAACGGGAATTGCCAGTTTTAATTGTTTTTGAAAATTTGTGGAATTGTTGAAGGTTTCATTAAAGGAGAGTCTTGTGAGCGATAAAACACAACTTTCGTATAAGTTTGCCTTCTAAGTTGAAAATAGTGGTGTCGAAATGAAGAATTTGTGATTCTTTCCCTTCACATTTCCAAAATATGACCTCGACTAATGCCTCTTACGAACAATCTTTTTAATTGGAAATACATTTTATGCGTCTTTTTAAATTAACGACTCTGAATTAGAGCAAACAGAAAATTATCTATGTGAAAAAGCTGGGAATGCGAATATAATTCAATTTATTAATTTGTATAAGTTTCATAACTTGATGGATACATTAATGAGGGTATGTAATGCGTCTTTAATGCCAAACGTAATTTTTACAAAACATGAGAAGTGAATGCGAAAGTTATGGAGAAAAGAAAAAACGAATAGAACAATAGCGTCAAGTAGAAAAATGCTTAGCAACACACAATCTTCGTGGTAACGAGCTCCGTTTTAGAAAATATAACACGATAAAAGCTACATACACAAAAAATCATCGAAACATAAGAGCACTCATGTCATTATGTGTTGCTCTGAATTAAAAGAAAATGGTGTACATATACATATATAAAAAAAAAGTGATGGAAATAATAAACTTCTTGGCTATATAAGCCAACATTGCACGAAGAAGAATCACTTACCGAATCAAATCGAGCAGTGTGTCGACTGTGTAGACTTTTTTCGAATCGCTTTTCGAAGTTGTGTTTGTAGCAAAGTTATTATCGCCTCCAATAACACCTGGACGAATGGTTGTCACTAAAATAATACCCAATATGACAGCAGATATTGTTGTCGTCAAATAGTATGTGATGGCTCTGTAAAAAAAATGACAAATAATTTAATGAAAAGAGGTGAATTGATGCGGTTTACTCATCTATAGAAAAATTGTTTACAAAAATGAAATGAATGGAAAGCTAGGCAGGTGTTTATCCATTCATGTTTTCAATTAATATCTCATTTCATGCACAACAAACGGTCGGTAGTTGCTTTTGCACACACACACACACAATCATATCACATCCGGATATGCATGGTTTGGATTATTTGAATTAATAAAAAAAAAATGCGCTTGCAATGATTTACATTGCCCGTGAATATATTCGATGTATGGCTGTTTAATTGCGTTGTGTGTATGGTGTCGTTTTGTTATTGGTGCAAGTGGAAATGATGATGGGTGGGCGGATAAAAAAAACAACACACGAATGTATTTCATTATAAACCAGATAAAAATGCACATAAATCAAGAGATCCAGTGTTGGTAATTTATTATTATCTGCGTGAATGACGTGGTTTGCGTTGCAAGGTCAAATCATAAATTAACATTTGACAATAATAACACATTCACACGAAAACAAAAACATGTTTCGTACGATTGATACACAACTTCTGTTTTGCCTTCAGTCAATAGACAAAGTTTAGATTCAATTTAGCTTCGTGTTTGTCTTTGCCTGAAAACTGTCTGGAACACGTTTACTTTTCACAGAAGGAAGAAAAAAAAACGCAAAAAGAAAAATCAACAAATCACTTGCACAACTTTTTAAACCGTTCCATCCATCTATCTATCCATTGAGAACGAGTAAGCGAACGAACGATTTGTTTTTTCTTCGTGTAGTCTGATGCCAAACACAACATGAACATGATTTTCATTTCTAAGCAAAACATGGAAAATCAACAAGTGCGCGCACACACACAAAACCGTAGTAAAACCCATCATCAAGAATCTGTTGCACAATTGGAAGCGTGCCAAAAATGCGGCAGCAAACTCATGCTACATTATTACATGGATTCCTTCGACGAGTTTATGCGGCTGAATTGAGCAGACTACGAGAGCCATTAGGATATTTCCATTTTTTTCATTTTTTTCGTGACGAAGAGGAACAAATACAACGTATAAAAAGAATGTAATGGTGAACATAGATGACGGAAAGAGAGTTCAACGTCACATCCAGTACGGTTTTCAAAGCGCTTATGTGTCGAATGTGCAACGGGGCGAATAAAAACGACACTAAGGAAAAACGCTTTCGAAATGTCATTTCAACTAAATACCGTACGGTTTTGATTGGTTGCTGTGTGTTTTTTTGCATCGTCGTCGTTGTTGTTGATGCCCAGTTTTATTTCAATCGGAAACAGCATATTTATTTACACTCTGCCAGCTTGTCACAAAACCATTTGCTAGTTGGCAAACTGCTGTGAGGTCATACAAATCCACAGATTCTATGTAATCGTGTCATCGCTGTTGCATCCATGCAATGATGATGATGATAATGATGCAATTTTTTTTTCGGTTACCTTTTAGCGATTTTCCCGGACATGCTCAAATCCAGTGAGCCGATGGCGCATGTTATTGACGACACTAATAAAGGTACTATTAAACATTTAAGCATTCTGTTGAAAAAAGAAACAAGAAACGTTGAAATTGGCGAAGGCACAGCAAAAATACATGAAAAAAAAAACAAATTTGATGTTACATACCTTAAAAACAGATCACCTGGATACTGAATATACATGATTTGACGCTTTGTCCATGGTTCTGAACTCGAGTTTTTCGTGATCAAACCGACTAAGACACCGCTAAGTACACCGACACATGTTAAAATGGTCAGCAAATTTCGCTTGATAAAGCCTCTACTGTTCACGGGCATTTTGTTGAGCCGTTGTTTATGTATGTATTCGACGAGTGAGAGAAGAGAGAGAGAGTGTGTGTGTGTGTGTGTGTGATAGAGAGACGGGAATCGATAAAAACTACGCTAAATCCCTTTTTTGTTCCGTCGACGGTGACACTTTTCCGAATTTCGTTATGAACGTTCTAAAATAAAAGCGCAGACGAAAAGAGTAAAATATTTGAATGCCTGTAAAATATGTATCGCGAGTGTGTGTGGTTGCGGTTATGCTGTTCGATTGTTGCTGATGCTGGAAAATATGCGTCAATAGTTTTTATCTCAATCCGAAAACTTGTCTACAATCGTTATTTCTCTGAAAGCAAAAGGAAAGAAAAAACAGATCAAAATGTTAATTAATTGTTAACTGACGATTCATTGCATCTTTTGCAATTTAACAATTTATTAGCTGCTCTAATGAGTGCACATAGTAATTAATTTGCATTAAACTTGAGAAAATGCTCCCCATTAGTGTGTCGAATGCAACCAAATGCACACTACAAAACAATCTCTCGCGCAATTCATTGTCCAATATTTAATATTGGCCATTTTGAAAACGAAGTCAGTTTTGCCATCAAATGTCATTTCTAATTAATATCAATTGAGATTTATTGCGTCGGCTATCGGTTATTAGACGAACATATAAAAAAAACAGCAGCATCGACCACCACCACTAACACCGTCGTCGTCGTTGCTGCCGCCACAAACAATCGTTGTAATTGTGTTAAAATACCATGCAAATATATCATTTGAATTTATTTTTATATTACATTGATTGCAATGCACAAACTAATCGACTTATGGCCGTTTGCAAGTGTTCAATTAAAAAGTGCACAAATTCATCAAAATTGGTTCAAAATAGTCAAGTAATAGCTCCTTGTAGAGGATTTGTCTTGCCATTGGCCAGCTGATGTGCGCGCTTGTGCGCGATAAATTGACGCGGTTAACATTTCAAAAGGCACCCTAACTCTAACTACATAAATATGTAACACGAGAATGAGCATTTCTTTCCACGCGACAAAAGTGTGTGAGCTGCAACGTGCATTCAACCATGCTATTATCTAATTATTAGCGTTTATTTCTTTGCTTGCCCACATTAAATTCGCATTTGACTCCAAGTGTTTTTGTTTGTGCGCTTCTAAACTATGCACGACACATAAGTGTTTTACTTTCCATTTCGATTTTGTGAGCGACCGTGACGCAAAAGGAAAACAGAATAACAAGAGACAACGAATGCACCGAACGTGCTTCAACGTCAATTTTCGTTTCGCGCATTCCGAATGATTCATTCACATTTGAAAATGAGCGAGCAATTCTTATTTATATTCGTCAAGTTTTTTTTTGTCTTCATTGATTACACAAAACTGGTAAACACTTGAATTTTTGGATTTATTTGCACTTTTTTTTTCATCATTGCACAGAAACACAAAATTTTTTAATTGATTTCAATAAAGACGCACCAAATGCACCGATGTAACTGTAAATGGCATATGGAAATTCATTTGCGGCACAAAATCAAAACGACAAATGTGCTGTGAACACATTTCAGTTAAATATCCGGTTGATTCTAGTTTGAAACTTGAAATTTCTAGCGTTGATACGTAAGTACGTTTTTTTTTCGTCTTCGTTGAATTGACGTGACTGAAACTGATTTCGGTTATCGAATTCGTGTTTACGAATATGATGCAAATTTACATGTTTTTGCCATCAATTGTTGATTTTGTCAAGCAGAAAGTGTCACGATTGAATCAAAGCGCCACACAATTGATTTCGATGGTGATGAAAGGACGAGAAATCAATTTATAACCAACAATGAAATCGTGAATTTAATTCATGATGAAGATGCTCTTTCGTATGCCGAAATATAAAATTACATGGAAATCAAGGGATTTTCAATCTGCACGCGTATGTGTGTATTCGAGACTGTCGAGGCGAAAGTGGAGTCCGTTTCGAAGTGATGGAAAAACTATGATAATTTATGGAAATTTGATTCACTTGACTTTTTATCTCGTCTTTTACATGTTGACGCTATGATCAGCATGTTCGTCATGTGCTCTTTGAAAAGCGTACTTGCCCCACACAATGGCACAGGATAATACCCTTCCACCGAAACGGAGGTGGAAAAAGTATTGAGCTTGAACGAAAACTATACGCGATTCAATAAGGCAAAACACGCTTTACATTCAATTCCATTATTGATAGACATCGTGGAATTTTCGTCAGTTTACTAGAGTCTGCTGTCTATTTGAAGGCACCATAATCAGACTACATTCCCGTATCACCAGAAACAGCAAATATTCCACACAAAAATCCAAATCAACAACTGAACGAACGAAACAATTTGAGAAATGTTGAGATTACAAATGCAATACATTTCCAAGGAAGGGAGTTGAAATTTAATTTCGAGTGAGTGCCAACGATTCAGCGGCGGTAGTGAGTATATCAGTGGAGTGACAAAACGTGACTCTGCGTACCTTATCTGCTGTTCATTTGATTGAATAAAACTTCGCGTTGAATATCATTGTCAGCATTTGAAAATGGGAATATTATGCGCGCACGGTATAAATAACACATACACATTGCATTGCTTCGCATCATATCACAAATCGTATCGTATCAAAGCTCCCGAACGTATATATAGATAATTCAGTGATAGTTTTGTCAGTGGCGAGCACCACATTTCGCTGAAGCTGATAACGAGCACAGCTTCGAGAGACCGTACACAATTTATGTGCGACGACGAATTAGATGGATGGATGGATGATGTGTAACGATTATATTCAATTAGCTCACATTCGCTTATGAATATTTCCTTTGTTGTTTGAATTTTGAACACGTTGAATTGAGTGCCCGACCCACTAAACTCAACATTATATTGCGCTCAACGTTGGTTCAGCGTTGCTACTGTGAAAACATCTTTGTTGAAACCAATCCGATTTTACACACTTTTCGCTACTTTCTTTGATCTATCTCTCTCTCTCTCTCTCACTCTCCGCTTAATCCGCTCAGAAAGTAGTTTATCGAGGTCATGGCTTTTCCTCATATTCTCAACGTCAATCCAACAAACAGAAGCGAATAAAACATGAGACGTTAAGGAGAAAAAAACTAAGAACGAATATGATATTATTTTTTTCTTTGTTGTTGTTCCATTTCATAATAAAAATGCAAAATGGATGAATCCCAATTTCTTGTTGCTCGGTTGCAGCCAGTCGGAAAACTGTGAAATATTACGAACAAGTTTGCCTCAATTTTTCATTCGCATAAAAGAGGTTGGTGATTTCTCTTCACATTTTCCAACCATATCCAATGTAAATGACACGAAGTGTAAGGAAGTCAACAGAGTAACCGTATTCGGAATAGAGCAACAAGAGAAAAAAAGGATTAGAGATACACAATGCATTAATGATGAAAGCGAAATAACGAAATATGACTACCCGTCGAATTGATTGATTTCGCTAACACAATAAGCAAACCGCAAGGAAACTTTTCATCCAAAATTAGAAGTGATAGCAATTTGTATGTAGAGAGAGAGAGAGAGAGAGAGAGAGAGAGAGAGAGAGAGAGAGAGAGAGAGAGAGATTGATTGAGACGATGGAAGCAATATATCGATTTTAATAGACATAATGAGACGTTTGCTCCGCTACTCAATCAATCAGGGTTCACAGACTGTGTATATGTATACCTCAAGTCATTTTTTGTGTGTGTGCGTTGTAGATTTCGACAATATTCATCATGGATGTGCTGTGCTCCCTCCTTCTCATCAGAAATGTTCTGCTGAGACATCATATTAATGTGAGGAATTTAATTTGATTGCTTTGGGAATGCAGATCTATGGCAGAAAAAATGGTTTTGTTTTTCTTTGAAGGCGAAGTAAAACAGCGTATTTCTTCGAAAGCAAATCGAATGAAAAGAATCGGATTGATGTTGGGTTAAGTTTACACCCACTCGAAAACAAAAACACACAAACTGCACCGACATTGATTTTGTGTGGAAGCAAAACACACACAAAAAATACCCAAAGTTTGAGTCTTTGGTAGATTGTCGTAGACGTAACTCTTCAAAGGAAGCAAATGGAGTCAGACAAATTTAATAGCATTCCAACATCTATCTATGCGCATGAACAAAATGAAAAAGACAAAATGACAACAACAAGAATGCTCAAATCCGATTAATTAAAATTGTGCGGCATCAACTGTCGAACCGCCGATACTGACAACGAGCTCGTGCACTCATTGTGACAAACACTCGAATACGACAACTAACAATAGCGAGTGAATGACGAAAAAAAGCACTACTTGCATTCACAGACACACACTCAACGGTTAGAGCGAACAAATTTTTTTGTAAACGAAATAGGTCATATATGGTCGGTGTATGGGTGGGCGCTGCCTGGGGCAAGATACATGTGGAATAATGCGGGATTTTGTTTTATCAGCTTTGACAACAATTGAAAAAAATAAATCCACAGCAGCGAAAATGATGTAGTGCACAACAATAGAACCATTCCGAATGAAATGCAATTGATATTGTGGGGCTTCATTCATACATGAATTTGCGAGCGAACGTGTGTGCGTGTGCGCGCTCTGTGCAAATAATGATCGATTAAAATCGATAATGTTCAATATAAAGTGACTGTGTTAATGCACTGTTGAATCGGTTTGAATTGTATTCGTCGATGATTTTTTGATTTTATGTTTTCCATTTGAAAGTCTTTTTTTCATCATTTTCACTTAATTCCGTATTTACCGGATAAATGGCAACCCGTAGTGATTCAGTTCATTAGGAAGATAATCGGTTCATTTCGGTAGAATTTGTTTATTCGCTAACATGAAACACATTTTTTTTCAATGAAACTCTTTTTCCTAATGTTGACTGCTTCAAAAGGAAATCACTTCACTATATGTATTTGTTATCAAATTTGTTTGAACTGGAAAAAACGCACTTTTTTTCGCTCTCGCACAATCGCAATTCTGATAGAAGAACACACGCCACGAAATTATTGATAGAATCCACGAGTCAATGGCCGAAAATAAAGTCGTTGATAAGAATTCGACAGTACGGTGACTGAGAGACACACAAAGAGCGTTTATTATTGCTTTGCACAATCGACCACACTATTGATCACAACGTCCAGCACTGGAATGAGACCCCACATTTCACGGTTGAAACCAAAATGGACCACATAATATTCAAGCTCCAATCACTGGCTGCTATCGCCATCGCTATCACTGATTGCATTTGATTCATTCATTTGCTCTTAATATCGTTGCAGTTTTTTTGTCTTTCTGTCTCTTTTTCTCTTCGCTTGGTTTTTAC